ATAAGACCGGTGACAGGCGCCTGAGGGCCCCATACCTGTGTATCATTCCATTGTTGTCTCGTGCTCCCCTTTTGTAATCCCAACCCCAAATGACACTGCCCCAAACACCTGTATGGGGCGTGGGTTTCGCACGTTGCGCTTTCGCTCCCAAGCGCCATCCGTGATATTCCTGCGGCGTGTTTCCTATCCAATAACTCCGCTACCTAATTCTGTCAAGATTCGTCTCTTCGTATATATATAAACCGCGGCGCGAGGTACTGCATTGTTTTTGCTCTCCGTTATGAACACACCTAGCCAGTCCTGTTTATTCTGGCATGCATGGTGGGACGCCGGTGCACCTGTCGCCTCCGTTGTTTGTCCTTGTTGGATCTCAGCAGCGTGATTTAACGCAAGATCACATCTGCTGCTGCGTCCTTCCACAAATATTACCGCTCATCAGTCTATCCTGAGCTACCTGCTCACCCCCCTGCGCTATCGTTGTTCAGCTCATTCAGCACCTCCCTGACAACATTCATCTTGACTGGCTTCGTCAGGAACAAGTCACACCCGCTCGCCGTCGCCTCATTCCGGCTCAAATCGCTGCTTAGTCCCGTGAGAGCAACAATCTTGACCTTGTCAACAACACCCACGTTGGCCTCCATCTGCCTAATTTCCCGTGTGGCCTCGAAGCCATTCATGATGGGCATGCTGATATCCATAAACACCAAATCAAACCGCGCCCCCTGGCCTTCCAGAGATTTCTTGTAAAGTTGTGCAGCTTCCAAGCCATTGGCTGCAGTGAGAAAGGTGTGGTTGAGTTTGCGGACCACATGTGTGAGGAGTTTGATGTTGATGGGGTTGTCGTCAACAAGCAAGAGATGTCTGGTGGGCGCGGAGGGGGATTGCGCGGTGCCCCCAGCATTAGACGTCGTTGGTGAAGTGATAGGCTTATTAGTCTTCGCTTCCACTGGCACTGCCGGCCGAGGGTCTGGTCCGGTTATTGGTCCCAGTTCTGTTTTCAGTTTCGCCAGCGCAGGAACACCCGGACTGAGAGGGACAGGCGTAACCCATTTGGCGACGGCAGATGCTTGGGCCGAATTGATGGGCTGGACTGTGTCGATGTTGAGAGGCGTTTTGGCTTCAAGAGCCGCGCATAATACTGCCGCCAGTTTCCTGGGGCCCAGGGGGTGGTGGATGTGAAGAGGGTGATTCTTTGTTGTACTCGACTTCAGGCATGATGGCGGCCCAGAGCCTGAGCACAGCAACACCAAGGGCGCAATATGCGAATGTCTGACCATAAAGTCATCAATGTCTTTGTGTGCTGTACCATGAGACGCGCCAGAATCCAAAACGTAGATATCTGCGGTTGGCAGTGGCTCATTATGTGTTGGTATGGTCACTGTCATACCAATGGTCTCACCCGCGTTGGACTTCAAAGCCCTTTCGACATTCATGGTCCAAAGGCGCTGATCTTTGTTGGCCCCTGGACCAGTGTTGTTGGAAGCACTGTACGCTTCGCTCGTGATCAGACACAAAGTGCGACCAGCGAGCTGGCGTTGATGTGCGTCGAATAGTTGCTGTGGAGGTTGGACAGGCACTGCCACCGATGAGTCCGTCTCATTTTTATTCAGGGGAACGAGGACTTCGACGCATGTGCCTATGCCAACCGAGCTGTAAACTTCAACGAAGCCTCCGAGGTCATTGACCAGTTGCTGGACAATGCTGAGGCCGAGGCCCATGCCCGGTGAGTGGCTATTTTCCTGGGAAAACGGGGTGAACAGGTGATACTTCAAATAGTCAGAAGACATTCCCAACCCAGTGTCCTGCACCGAGAAGGATATATGCTCAGAAGACTTCCCTGTCTTATCCAGTCGCTGAACTGTTTTTAGTTTCACCTCAATCCGTCCAGTCAAGGTGTACTTCAGGGCATTTCCAAAAATGTTCATGACGATGCGCTTCCATGCACCGACGTTGACGGGCATTCTCCAGGCAGATTTCATCGCGACATGGACGGTGATGAGTAATGGACGGTCGGGTACGTTGCTGTTAACTGGTTCTGCTATCTTCTTGAGCATCGACGATTGCATGTGGAAGGCGTTCCCAGATAGGTGGCCGACACGGATGGCTTCCACAACTTCCTCCACGAGCAGCCCCAAGTCAGTGACTCGGAGCTGTGCAGCCGGTGACTTGTGGTCACGTTCCCGGCCGGCGTGGGTCACCACAGCGTGGTCGAGCAAGTTGTTGAACGTGTCGAGTAACGTTGTGGCGCAGGAGTCCAGCATATCTAAAGTCGACAAGAGTGGGTTGTCCAACATATTCTCTCGCAGCAACTCGCTGCTGGCCATGATTCCATGAAGTGGACTGCGCAATTCATGGCTAAGGGATGAAACAAAGTCTGACTTTGCGCGACTGGCGGCGAGGGCTTCAAGTCGTGATACCTCGGCCATGATGGAATTGCCGAACGCAGACACCAGACCGATATCCGTGATGTCGATAGCCCGAGTCGGGTCCTCCACCCAACCCAGACTGGCAGCATACCAGCATTCGCGCTGGAAATGCCACAACGGCAGGAAGACGACGTATTTGGCAGAGGGCAAAACTCGGAATAGGGCGTCAATGTCATCCTTCAGTCGTACAGTTGCTGGGTCTGGTTGTTGACGAGAGGACTGGAATCGCTTCCCAGGTCCGTAACTGTCATCGATCGGGCCATATTCATCAGCGGTAAACACTTTGCCCTGAGGGAACGCGCGGATAAACCGTTGAAGCGATACTTCAGGCAGGCGCGTCTGGGAAGAGTGAGTAATGTTTTCACCAGTGGGCCCTAAACAAGATTTGACAATGGCAGAGCAAAATGGGCCTTCTTCATAGTCGTGGAGAGTCCCTGGCTGGCTGTTCAGAGTGGGCTGGTCGGACCTGTCACTATAAGAACTTGGCACTGCGTCGAGAAACATGAAGCCATCCATGTCCATAGAGCGTCGAATGGTACCGGCGGCTCGGAAGAAGGTGGTTTTGATGTTGGCTGAAGATATGAAGCCACTCCCGTGTGATTCCGAGGTTTCCGATGAGGGGGCCGGTGGGTTTGCAATGGCGGCTTTGTCTGCATCGGTGCGAGCGATAGCCGTCTTCAATTGTTGTTCCATCGGATTCTCATTGACCTCGTCCCGCGGGGTTGTTGGAGGTGTCTCGGAAGGAGTCTGTCTGGCTTCCGACAACAAAGAGAGGCCAGACTGGCCTGACTCGATTGACGACGATGAAATGACATTAATCGGTTCCGGTCGTTGAGACCCATCAGACGACTGTACATCAGTCGAATCAGTTCTGTCGGTGGATTTGCCGTCGTCGTTGGAACCTCCAATGCTGCCCCGCTGCTCCGTCGTTGTCGGAGGATCGAGGTCGCTGGGCGCCGGCCTAGGTATGGCACTCGCACGGGAGGGCCGCTGTGAGGGTGGTTCATGCCTGATGAATCCGCTTAACCCTTGTATTAGCTGGGCCGAACGATCTCGGCTCTGCTTTATCCTAACATTCTCCAGATGCGCCATGATGGCGACAGCAATCTCGTTCATAATCTCCACTTTTTCGTCATCGTCAAACTCATTCAACTTGCTGTCCACCACGCAGTAGCTTCCCATCAAGTACCCAAGCGAAGAGACCAGAGGGACCTCGAGGTATGATCGGAAGTAGGGGTAATTCTTGACATATGGGCGGTCTTTGTAGTCGGGGTGTGTCGTGAAGTTGTTGATGATATATCTCGTTCTATTCGCAATGACATCGGGTCCTGTTTTCACCCATTCACCTGTCTCGTCCATAAACGCGTTCATGGTTGCCGGACACACACCATCGCAATTCCTCAGCTTGCAAACACCTATCGCGATGGTGTCTCCCGGGTCGGAGATCAAGTCAAAAAGCGAGTGTGATCGCGTGATCTCCGAGACGACATATTGGTATGTTCTATCGATGAGAGACACAAAGGCTCTGTCGCAGCCCAGTCGCAGGGCGCCGAGTTGAGTGAGGCCATTGAGGATGGGATCCGAGTTCAGCGTGGCCTTTTCGGCGAAAGCGGCGGGGAGATCTGGAGGGAACGAGGCGGCCAAGAGGTAACTACACAGGAGGGTCACAGTTAGGTGAGTGAGATCAAGGTGTTGGGCGCGGGCGTGGGCGACGTACGCTGCGATCTCTCTCTGCCTGGCTCGCTCAGAGCTCTTCACCTCGACGGCGTCACTTGCTGCCACAACGGCCGGCACCGGTGGCTCGGGGCCATTAACCGACATTCTAGGGCGTTGGATGCTAGGGCTAGAGGGCAAGTGGGTCTTGCTCTGCCTACATCGTTCAGTTGGATGGAGACGGTGCAAGCAAGATTGCAGATTGCAGAGGAAGGATCAAAGACCTGGTATTTCCTGGTGGCGGTCGCAACCCAAAAAGGCTGGCGAGCGTGCCTGTACTCTGTACCCCCAGTCCAGGCCCAGGGGGGGCGGGTTGAGTGGTGTCAACTTGGTTGCGGCGGGGAGCCGGACAAGACCAGAATGTTTCCGTGCCAAGTTCCCGTACCTTAGCGTCCAAGTCTTATTGCTCACCTGCTCCCCCAAACTCTTCGCTCTCTCCGGCCACATTTGAAGCAGCGTCTCTCGTAGCCCAATGGTTGTCTGTTATAGCGATAGGGTGATTACTCCTAAAAGGGTCATGGATTTTTTGCCATGGCTGCGGTTCCAAGATTTTCGCATTGATTTCCATGGGATTTTCGGCGCACACGTCTTTGGGAATGCAAGATCGAGATCGAGACGAGTGGCGACCCACAGAGGGGCTCGGATTTCGGTTGGAAAGCAACCTAGCTCCGCTCACATGAGACACCCATGACCGCGTTGAGCCCTAACCCTAGGTGACATCACGACACTCTATCCTTTCTGATGGCGAACATGTCACGGTTATCTAGGTCTAATGTAGAGGATAAGCTGTAGTCATTGACCATAACATTTATTGTCCCTGTTGACTTCCAAATGTCCTAGCCCGGCGTGGTTTTGAAAGGTTCTCAATGTTAGATGAACCTCCATATCCGACACAAGCACAATGACGTCACTAGCCCGCAGCGACGGTAACGCAGCAGAGAATTTCCTAGGGTACGGGGTACTTGTTATCAAGCGACGGTCAGAGTCCTTGAAATTATTAGTCGTAGCTAATCGTGTCTGGTGTGTTGTTTCTGTGACATTGAATGTGAACAATGTTAGGTAAAGGTACGGCTATTCCGATATATCATCGCGATTCCTAAGGCAAATAACACATTAGAACAACACGGCTGGGTAAGGACAAGTACCTACTCTAATTTCCAGATCAGAGCAGATGTTTGAAACCTTACTTCCCCTTAATCTGACCACATCACTCCCTCTCCTGCTCCTCCAACACCGTCTTCAAAAACTGAAGCATATGTTGCAACTCCATCGGCATCTTCTCACCCCCCGTCTCCTTCTCCGCCGCCTCCTTAGCCTTCTCCGCCGCCTGATGATCCAGCAGCATTTCAACCAACTTCTCACTATGCTTCCTTGCCCGACTGGCATACACCAACGGCGTCTTCCCGCTCTTATCCTTGACATCAGCCTCGGCCCCCAACTTCAACAACTTTTCCACCACCCCAACCTGAAACCTCTTCACCGCCGATATCAAAGGTGTTTCTCCCGAAGGCTCATGCACAGCCGTCAAATCCCCGTGTAGATTTGTCGCATACTCCGGGTAGAACTCATCCAGGAGCATCTCAGCAAAAGTTGGCTCAAACTTCCTGATGGCTAGATGCATAGCAGAAAGGTTCTTTTCGTCCTTGATATGTAAAAGAGCCGGGCACTTGTTGAGCAGCCCCCGGCCGGCATTAACCGCCCCGCCTCTCGCAGCCCAGTGAAGCGCGGTTCGCTTCTCCTCATTTTGAATCTTTGGGTCCGCTCCGGCCTGGAGAAGGAGGTTCACAGTATCGCCTATCCCGTCATAGCACGACAAGCCCAGCGGCGTGTCGCCTTCATCGTCTTGAGCATTGACGTTTGCGCCATGTCGAAGAAGCCACTTGATTGCCTCCCCTTCATCACAGGCACAATGAAGAAGGGTGCCGCCGGCATCAGTTTTGATTTCGATGAGTTGGGAAAGCCCGGGCTTTTGGTGAATGAGGTAGCCGAGGGTGACGACGTTGGCGTATTTAGCCGCGTAGTGGATAGGAAGCCAGCCGTCGATGTCTCCGACTGTCTGATTCATCCCTGCGCGTATGAGGTACTGGGTGACGTCCTTGCCGGCGAGCACTTGACATCGGGCAGCGAAGTGAAGGGCTGTCCACCCGTCCTCGCCGAGAATCTCACCTGGCTTGACGCCACCAACGTTTGGGTCGAGGAGAATCCTCACCACAGCGAGATTGCCTTGACTGCAGGCCCAGTTCAGGGCTGACTTTTTGGGCGTCTCGTCGATGGCGTTGGGATCAACTCCGTGTTCAATCAGCATGGCGATGGTATCCGCCTGTCCTCGCACCACGTCTGACCTGGCAGCATGAGAAATAATGGTGAGCCCATCCTCCATGAGGCGATGCGGATCAGCCCCATGCTCCAGGAGAATCTGAAGAGTCCCAGACTGTCCCGAGGCGGCTGCACAGGCCAGAGGTGTCACGCCCTTCTCAGCCGCCACATCAACCTGTGCTCCCGCTTCGAGTAACAACCGGACAATATCGTTATGGCCGGCCTGGGCCGCGAGGTGCAGCGCTTTTAGACGATTCTTTGAACTGGTGCTATAGTTCAAGAGCGGCACCCTGCCCGCAGGAGAAAGAGATTTGATACATTTCTCGACATATCTGGTGCTGCCCAGTTCGCAAGCTCGAAAAAAAGTCCGAAGGTTGTCTTTGACGGTGCCTGTGGGAAAGACGAAGGACTCGGTAGGGCCGACGCCGCGGGGTTGAATGGGGGGCATGGGGTCAAGACAAAGGCGGGGTGGAAGATCTGTGGGAGAATGGGCTGTTGTCTATTGGAGCATCGTTATGGGTCTCGTAAATCGGTGATATATAAGTTGCCCGGCCGGTGCTCGGAGACCATGATGTTGGTAGGGCCCTACCTTATGTTGAGAATGTACCAGGTGCCCTGGGGTGGAAGGTTTCCAGAAGGTGTGACTGTTGCCTGCACCGCCCGCTGACTGCAGCAAACGTGAAAGAAGGAAGTGTGGTGGTCTGGAGCGCAAAGAATGTGGGGGCCGCACTTTGAACCTCATTTGTGCAACGCCGCTTCAACATTCCCCGCAGAGAAACACAAGAGGCATGGTGATCAGATCGACAATGGAGGAAGAAAAGAGCGGAAAAGTTTGAATTGCGAGCTGATGCCCAACTATAAGTTTCCGTTGATCGTCACTCGTCGTCGAGTTAGGCTTCCGCATTGTGCTACGTCCCGACCTTGTCAGCCTAAGTTCCTCCGGGAAAAAAAGAATTACATAATGATCAGGCTGTAAAAGAAATGCAAAAAGTAAACGTCGCCTGCAGGATTCGAACCTACGCTTCCGAAGAAACGGCCTTAGCAGGGCCGCGCGTTAACCACTCCGCCAAAGCGACTTGCAAGTACAGGTTGGACTTGGCATTGATATCGCTAACGGGGAGCTACCCCTGAGGCCCTAACAGCCCTGCCCAGTTGCCCAATGTGTCACAAATCGCCTCCCAGCACGCAAATGGCCGTCAAAAAGAGTTTGTGTAAATTGAGGACCGTCGATTGACACACATCCTCCATCACCTACGATCAACCCAACCAAAAACAATCCTCTCGCACCTGTCCAAAAACCCGTGGACCTCTTCCGCTGTATGCCACGCTTCGTTGAACGCGGCACTAAGCTCCATCTCTCCTCTAAATGTCCCGAGAAACAACCCCAGTCCAGTGCCCAGCTCCTCACCGGTCACCCAGGGGTTATGAACCTCTTACCTCACCGACGCGCGAAACAATTAGTTTGTCGATGAGGCCCATGCTGGAAATGGAGACAGAGGGCTTAGAATTGGGTGACGGGACCGGAATATCCCACTTGTCGTTCTCGGATTGAGGCAATGGAAGGGAAGGGGTGGCCGCCGTCCAGATGTATGGTGCCAGAGCAAAGTGGTCTTTGTCGTCACGCACGGAGTGGTAGAACTGTCGCATTTGAGCCAAGATATCGAGAAATTCGTCGTCTCGTTTGCTGGCATCGGTAAAGACGGTGGCCGACATCGTTACAGCAAGCTTGGCCCCAGAAACAGAGTGATAAACGGCTGCTGCATGATGGGGCCCGTTGAAAGGCGGCTGGCAGCTTTGACGCTCATTCCGAAGAATGTAGTTGATGTACTTGACCAAGGCGCCAGCATCAGGCGGCGCCGAGAGGCTCTCGGTGTGGAGATCGCGGACTACCATGGCAATGGCAGCGTGGAACGCATGGGTCGGCGTCGCACCAATAGCCTTGAGCGCCGCCAGCAGTGAGGAGACACGATCGGCAGAAATGGTATGAGCGACTCGTTGATGTTTACCAGGTAAGGGAGCGCCTTGACGATATGGAATGCCGATGCTCCCAACTGCTAGATCTTGGGGTGCGTTGTTGGCTTCTTGTAGTGCTGCTTGTTTCGCTTTCTGCTCGGGTGTGGGAACTGGAGGAACAGCGGCAGCCACTCGATAAGGTGGACTCAGGCGTGCTGTCTCGGAGCCATCGAAGATGGCAAGTTGCATGGTCGAGCACTCACCCAAAGCCTGTGAGGCGTGATGAACGAAGGCATTGAGAAGTTGTAGAGTGCCAATGCCATCAATGATGTCGTGAGGGGAGCGAAGGACGATGTCACGGCGGACCCCTGAGTTAGGAGAAGTAGGTACGGCAACGACAAACAATGTCGCAAGCTCTGGAGCAGGAGGGTCCGAATTGGCCCATTCCACTCCAGTCTGCCCGTCTGTAATGAAGTGAAACGTCTTGTCAAGCCAGGCGGCGCGGGCGCCGTCGTCGGGCAAAATCGCGTAGGTCTTCTTCCACTTCTGCTCATGGCGGTCAAAGTGAACTTGGGCACCGATGCTGGGAAGTTGGTGTCGAAGTCTCAGCCATGCGGCTTGTAGAGCTGCGTCGAATCTTGGCCCGACCGCAGTGGCATCCTGGCCTTCGAGAACCGGGATAGTCAACGACACATGGCCAGTGATAGCGAAGTGCATGCGGCCGCTCCCTGCGTACTGTTTGACCAAAGAAGAGTAGAACACCTCGGCCTCGTCGGCGTCACGCTGCCAAATGCCAGGGCTGATCTCGCGCCAGATAAAGTTGTCGTAGACTGAGGGAGATGTCATGGTGGTTGCTTGAGGTGTGTCTGAACTTGGACATTTCATCCAATCTCTCTCGTGAGGACAGCACCTCACCCTTTTATCTTGATCATCTCGGTCTTGATTTCCGCCATGTGAGCAAGAAGAGCAACAACGGAGCGTGTAAGTCGGGAAAAGGTCGGGAAAAGGAGCACTTCTGTGATCGTGATCTCTCGGCAGAGTGGCCGTGGTTGGTGCAGGTCTCCGACTTTTAGCCATGCCACTGAAGCGAGACACCCATTGCCCACCGAAGTTTAGCCATTTCGGCACGTTTGAGCCAGTGATCCCCGCCATAAAACCCACCAAATCAGCGGGGAAACGGAGGCATGACACCGACGAGATCTGGGGATCATCCCAAGTTGGCAACCCTGACAAATGCGCTCCTTGACCCTTGTCCTCCATGAACACTGATAAAATGCTGTCCGGTCAGGATTTCGTTTGCCCACGACTAGGTCCCTCAAGCCAGGTATCAAGGCTCGGGAGATTGATACACATAACGAATATCCGCCATGTCCAAAGCAGCCACAACCACTTACACAGTTGAACTTCCGAGCGATGCCGAGAATGCATCACGATCCACAGCAAGAGCTTCTTTCCAAGTGGACGACTCTCCCCCCTCTGAAGATGGTCAGGCCCAAGGGCTCACCAAGTCGGTTCTTCTGAAGCTCGCCAGCGCTGCTTTCTCTTTTTTTGTGTCCGGTGTCAACGACGGTAGCATCGGTGCCTTGATACCACACATCATCCGCGACTATGGTGTAACCACTGCCATTGTGTCTGCCCTGTAAGTTCGACGCTCTCGCTCATTCGACCAACCTAGGTATACAGGCATCGTGTTGACACAGACAAGATATGCGGCGAGTTTCGTGGGCTGGTTATCTGCCGCCTTGTCCAACACACATCTCAATCATCGCCTTGATCTTGGAGCTATGATGGTTTTAGGCGCTGCCTTCCAAGTCGTCGCCCATGCACTGAGAGCATGGCCCACGCCGCCGTTTGGCTTGTTCATCACCACCTTCTGGTTTGCCAGCATCGGACAGGCTTTCCAGGACACACAGGCAAACACCTACGTCGCCACGGAGAAGGGTCTGACTGTTCACCGCTGGCTTGGTTTTATCCATGCCATGTACATGGCAGGATGTCTCGTTGCGCCATTCGCTGCCTCCCCCATCGCGTCATCGCCTTCCGGAGACGGATCTTCGCAGTGGTACTTGTTTTACACCGTACCTCTGGGCTTGGGTGTCGCTAACTTGGCACTGGCCATGGTGGCATTTCGGGATACATTCCGCCTTCGACCCCGTGTGCGTGCTCTTGATCCCGGTACTGTGGCACCCGAGAAAAGCGCTTCGGCCCTCATCAAAGAGACCCTCACGACGCGAAGCGTTTGGGTAATCAGTCTGTTTTTCTTCTTCCATCTCGGGGTTTGCGTCACCGCTGGTGGATGGGTTGTGGAATATCTCGTGGATGTCCGCGATGGCGACTTGAGGCAGATGGGATACGTTCCAGCTGGGTTCAGCGGCGGTTGTCTCTTGGGTCGCCTCCTTCTGCCCGATCCAACACACAAATTCGGCGAGCGGCGGATGATATTCATATACTGCCTGTTCTGTCTAGCGTTTCAGCTGGTATTCTGGCTGTAAGTATCATCACATGGTGGCAGGACAGGAGATATTGTGTGGGGCAGTGAGGCTAATCGAGACTTGTTACAGTGTTCCCAACATCATTGCTGCCTCGGTCGCCATCAGCTTCTTGGGGTTCTTTCTCGGGCCATTCTTTGCGACTGTCAGTACCCAACCTGCCTAATTTGGTTTCATGAATCGGGGTTTTAGCTAACAGTCGCCAACAGGCCCTTGGGGTGGGCACGCGGCTCTTCCCTCCCGACATCAGATCTACAGCACTGCCCTTCCTCTTCGTCTTTGCCCAACTTGGTGGTTCTCTGTTCCCGATCGTCACCGGCATACTGGGCGCCCACGTTGGAGTCTCGGTATTGCAGCCTGTCCTTGCGGGCCTGATATCGGCCTCGGCAATCGTTTGGCTATTTGTTCCTCAGCCTCAGACGAAGCGAGAGTAGCTGTCACTGGTACGCGGCAGGTCTCAGAAATGATCAAAATTAAGTAGCATTGGCTAGCTTTAAGAGCAACATGAAGGCCTTGCTCGAATTGCGGAAAATCTCCTTCATTGCATCCCTCGGCCGATTCTCGCCTAAAAGACCACGCAAAGTTCCAATCCTTGGGCTGTCAGTCTAAGCAGGGATGAGATGTTTGCCTTGGGGCTTACTAACAGTTTTGGGGTATCAAAAATCGTAATCATTAATCATCAAATTCGTTGCCTTCCCTACTTTGGCCGCGATGCGGAATGCGCTGAACCGTGAGACGAAACAGGGTACAAGGTGTGATGATGAACGCCAGTAATGGACTCCGAGTCGGGTGCATGACTTGGACTGGCAAGGTACTCGACTGCATCAGGGGGAAGTGCACCCCATGACATGCACATCAGCCCTGATAGGAGAGCTTGCTGGCTGAGGTGGTACCAGTGGTGATGGTGATGGTGCTCCTCTGGTGGGTGTTGAGGTTTTGGTGATTGATGGCTGGCGGTGTTGGTATGGTTCATTTTTGCTGTGAGTGAACCTGAAAACGTAACAGTCACCTAGGCTGTGTTGCGGTGGTGGGTATGTGGCTTGTCTGCAAGAAGTATTGAAGAGATCTGTTGTAACAATGGTGGGAGAGACAGCTGTATTGACTGAAGTGGCAAAACTGATGTTTTATAGACAAATGAGCAACACTACACCCGATACTGGTGCTTCCCCTCTTCCATGGTGTTGGGATGGGAAGACGGTGAGGTGATGTTGATGGCGTGACAAGCACAGGTGGACGGTGGTGTGACAGCGGGGCCGGCCGATGTGCCCCACAATCCCGGGTCCCACTTCCGACGTGCCGGGGCCGACCGGCCCCACTGTCTCGGGAAAGGGGTCAGGGGTAAAGAAGCTTAAACTAACGACACCCGGCTTGTGAACAGCGGCTCAACGGCGCGCTTTGAAGCCAGTCAGTCACAGTATCTAACCCGGCGAATGGCGGTTTTGCTCGAGTCAAGACACTCGCGCTACGGAACGCCGGAGAATGGCGACGTCACCCCTGAATCTCGCCTCCCCGGGAGCAAAACCTGATCCCATCTCATATGTAATCTCTTGAAGCAGCAGAGATCACTCAGACAAGATTTGTCTCTCAACACTCGACACTCTCACCAACATGTCTCCAAACGCCAGCTCGGTCGCCCCGAAAGGCATCCAGCAGTACATCGCTGCCAGACAAGGCGGTCCGTTCCAGCTGATCAACGCACCTTACCCAGTTCCTGGGCCGAACGAGATTTGCATCCGGAACCGTGCTGTTGGTCTGAACCCCCTCGACTGGAAGAATCTTCACCATGGGATGATGGTCGATTCTTGGCCCGAGATCTTCGGCATCGACACAGCTGGTGTGGTGGAAGTTGTTGGTAAGAATGTTCAGGGGTTCAAGGCCGGTGATGCGGTCATGAGCTTGGCTGGCCATGGTGGCCGTGCCGGTGCTTTCCAGGATGTAACGACCGTCCCGGCCAACTACGCCTGCCGCAAGCCCACAGCTTGGACTTTTGAGCAGGCTGCTTCTGTTCCGTGAGCAACCCCTTTTCACTGCACACTGTATCTCTTGCTAATCTTGCTTCCCCCAGAATCTGTTACCTCACAGCCGTAGCCTCCATCATCAAAGGCCTCGGCGTCCCCCTCCCCCACCTCAGGGAGCTCCCCAACGAGAGGATCCCCAACCTCGACGACCTCACCAGCCCAATGACCCCAGGTGCCACCCAACCCCAGGTCAAACCCCCCCTTTTGACCTCGGTCCTCGTCATCGGCGGCTCTTCCGGCGTCGGCGCCTCCGCGGTCCAACTCCTGCGTGACGCCCTCCCCCACCTGGTAATCATCACAACCAACTCCCGCGCCCACAACCAGAAAGTCACCTCCCTCGGCGCGACAACCTGCGTCGACCGCAACATGAAGCCCGATCAAATCGCCAAGGCGGTTCGTGACGCCTCGCCTGATGGGAAGGGGGTTGACGCAATGATTGATACTGTTGCTGGGGCGATGGCAGGGAACAAGGAGATCTTCGGGGCGTTTAGGGAGGATGGGCCGAAGCTGTATAGTCATGTTATGACGGGGGAGAAGTTGGAGGTGCCGGAGGGGGTCAAGGCCGCGATGGTGTTTGGCCGGATGGCGTTCCAGACTGATGGGGGCGGGGCGGCTATGACGAAATTGGTGGATTTGGTTGAGTCGGGACGGTTTAAGCTGCCGTTGGAGATTGAGGGTGTGGGTAAGGGGTTGGGGGTTATTGGGGCAGGGTTGGAGAAGCTGAGGGGGGGTGTTAGTGGGACTAAGTTGGTTGTTTCTTTGTAGGTTTGTTATTTTGAGGTGTGTGAAACCGGGGACGGGTGATGGGAATTTCAGATGTATCATAGATGGTAATTTTGCGATGTTTACAAATCGTTGTCAAATCTGTTTGCAAGCACAGGCCAATCGCTCACTCACTTGCTCCCATTCACTCTTGCCCCACCAAAAGTTGTTGGTTACACACAGCTTTTTAAGTGAGAATTTCTGACTGTAGGCCTCATTGCATTCACCACATTCGCTCACACTTTTCTCAGTGTCCTTTAATCCTCTCGACTTCTCACTCAAACCGAATGCACACAAAAACCAACACACCCACCTCACAATGGCTATCCGACCACCCCTCCAGAAAGCCCTCTCCCCCTGCATCCTAGAAGTCGAACGCAAATTCCACTCCCTCGCCGTCCGCCACCTTACCCAAAACGGCGGCATCCCACCCTTCCAATCCCTTCGCTCACTCCCCCTCCAAACAATCCGCGACACCTACTACGACAAGTCTAACCTCCTCTCCTCCTCCGGCGCCTGGATCCGCCGCCGCAACGGGATATGGGAAGCCAAGATTCGGAAAGGCGGTGACTTTACCAACTCGCGGTTTGAAGAGCTCAACAGAGTGAGCGACATTGCGGCTTGTGTCGAGAATATCACGGGGATTCAAGCTCATGAAAAAGAGGATTTTGGGCTGGGGATCATGGCGGATTTTGTTACCACCCGTGAGACGTGGATTGCGGATGAGGAGTTCAGGATTGTGAGGGATCATATTGATTTTGGACATGAGGTTGGCGAGGTGGAGCTGCAGAGGGTGCTGGATGGGGAGGCGAGTGAGGAGGAGAAGATGGGGGAGATGGAGAGGATGGATGAGAGGATTGAGAAGTTTATGAGGAGGTATGGCTGGGCGTTTAGGAAGGGGAGGCCGGTGGGGAAGTTGACGGCTTATTTTGAGATGATGGGGAAGAAGAGATCATAATCACCACCCGTCGGCAGCATTGTACAACAACTATACCAAAGGCCTGCTTCTCTATAATTTCTCAGCTCTGTTTAGACTTGCACTGACTGTGGACCTGATCGTCTGTCATTTCTCATAACCATTCGACGGGGAACTTTGGGGCTTCGGAAGTCAGAGCTGCCCATTCCTCACTGCTACCCAGAGCAGCCTGCAGCTTCTGATATGATTCTTCTGTTGCGCCACTGGTGTCGATCTATTCATCTTAGTGACACACTCATTCTGAAGATGGTATTCTTCCATACGACATACTGTGATTAGTCTGCCCTCGGGTCTTGCGTAATGGCTCAAGATTGGCGGGTTTGACTCGCGAAACTCGGAATACCGCTTGTCGAATATCTCGACTGTGTCGCCAAACCGACCTAATTTTCTCGTGATAACCCTTTCTCTCGCGAGATCTTCGGGACAGTCAAAGAAGAGAATGAGCTTTGGGGGTCCAAACTGCGAGGTGTCAGTTAGCAGACTCAGCCGCCAGCTCCCGAAATAATGAGTAAAGTTGCGCCAGTTCGGGTACTTGCCACTGCTTCAAATTCTCTAGCCTGGTCCAACCGCCGGGGAAAACCGTCCAGCAGGAGGGGTCGACCAGCGGTAGAGGATACAGGTTGGGCCACGCGGTGATACAAAAGTTCGTGGAGTATATGTGTTGGTAGGAGCTCTCCACGGTGGATGCACCCGGCGATTAATTGGTCTGCGTTGGGTGATGACACGGTTTGCCGTAAAAGGTCTCCGAGGGAGAGGTGGTCGACGTTGTTGGCTTCCGCCAGCATTTTGCAGAGGGTACCCTTTCCCGCTCCGGGAGCACCTGAGAAGCGGTCAGCCAAGAATGAAATGTTGGGGTAGTGATACTATGATGACTTTACCGATGACAAAGATCAAGTCGCGAGTTCTACGGGTTTCTGGCACCATTGTTGAGTTGTTGATGTTTCGTTCTCCTATGGTAGTGTCTCAAAGGCAAGAGAAAGAGACCAAAAGATGAGCTTAGAATCCGTCCACCTAATAACAGGGTGACTGCTGAGTCCTCGATGAATTGTTTGCTTCTTAAGCAGAACTTTGCAGGCCTCATGCAAGGATCCGCATGAGTCTAAGAGGTTGTAGACTCCCCGCTTGATGACTGGGCGAGGCCTACAGTGTTCGCCTCAGCTTTCTACGAGCCCCTCATAGCCCACACCTTCTCCAGTCACTGAAGAATTGGGGGCACGTGTGAGGCCTACTGTATGCCCTCTTAAGTCATTCATTGGCATCTCATCCCTCACTCTTCATTCTTCTGTCCCCAAAGCAAAATCATAACAACACAAGCTTTTGACCCAACAACACACCCAATATGGGAACCATAATGTGGCTACTAGCCCTCTTCACCATCATCTTCATTTTTCTGCACCACCTCCATACCCGTCGTAACCGCGGCCAAATCCCCGTCTCGGTCAACTACCACTTCACCCGCCGCTGCAACTACACCTGCGGCTTCTGCTTCCACACCGCAAGCACAAGCTACATCGAAGACCCCAACCGCGCCAAAGAAGGTCTCCGTCTCCTCGCCAACGCCGGCATGAGAAAGCTCAACTTTGCCGGCGGCGAGCCCTTCCTCTACCCAAAGTTCCTCGGCGAAATGATCGACTTTTGCAAACAAGACCTCAAACTCGAGTCAGTCTCCATCGTCACCAATGGTAGCCTAATCAGGGAGGACTTCCTCCGCAAGCACGGCAAAAACCTTGACATCCTCGCTGTCAGTTGCGACTCGTTTGACGAGGCGACCAATATCCAGATTGGGCGCGGGACAGGAACCCAGGTGAAGAAGCTGTGTGAGATTGCCAGGTGGTGTGAGAAGTATGGGGTTTTGTTCAAGATTAATACCGTTGTTAACCGGTTGAATTACATGGAGGATATGAATGAGCGGATTGGCGAGCTGAAGCCTTTTCGGTGGAAGTGTTTTCAGGTGTTGATTGTGGCGGGGGAGAATGACACGGAGGAGACGCTGAGGAATGGGCACAAGTTTACTATTTCGGATGGGGAGTTTGAGGGGTTTTGTGAGAGACACAGGGGTCAACCGTCGTTGGTGCCGGAGCCGAATAGTTTGATGGCGAAGTCTTATCTTATTCTTGACGAGTATCTGAGGTTTTTGGACAGGACGGGGAAGCAGCCTTCGAGACCGATATTGGAGGTTGGAGTGAAGAAGGCGTTGGAAAGTGTCTTTTGGGATGAGGGTGCATTTTTGGAACGTGGGGGTTTGTATGATTGGGTCAAGCCTGAGATGGAAAAGTCATGTGGTAAAGGAGGACGTGAGGAGTTGGACTGGTAAATGACACAGCCCTGGCAAAAGGAGGATGATGCGAAGAAGCGGGGGGTAATGTGTAACATACAATCGTTAGGTAGGTACATGAAGGTTTACCATTTGCGAAGCTAAGGTACATCACCCTCAGGCTTTTAATCAGTCAGGATCCCACCTGCAAAAATACCATGAGAACCGCCGCGTACCTGTTTACACACACAACTTTCGTTAACGTCCCATAGCTTCACGGTAGTAAGGGTGCAGACTCACGCCGCCGTTGCTCCCAGGGCTTCCAAAGGCCGTGGTGTCATGGCAAAGCTCGTAAAGAGTAAACAAGCAAGAACAAAAGCGGTAATGACGCCCAGTTTCTTCGAGGCGTCGACTAGACCGTGGAGCACCCAAATGGGCACGACCAGCATCACCAGACCGGATGTGACGGTCACTATGGACACGAAATGATCCATGGTCTTATCGCTGTAGAAATTCACCGCAGTTTCCGAGCCATCTGGCAGCTGGTCGGCGGAGCTGGTGCCATCGTTGCTTCTTCCCATTTCTATATCCCGGGTGTTATTCCTGGATTTGTCCCTCCAGAAAGGAAGCGTGCGCAAGAATAAGAATTTGTCCATTGCCCGACGCAGCGGCGTCTTGTCTCGCGGGGCGAGGGGGATGAGGTCCTCCGTGTGGTCAAGATAAGCCATTTCCTCCTGAGATATTGCTTCATTGTCATGGTTTTTGTGCCAGGTTTTGAGGTTCTTGATGTCCCAGGGAGGAACTGTCGGATAGTTGAGCAGGGCGGTCTGTTGAATAATGAACTTGTCTGGCAGCGGTGAGTAAGGTAGATGCTATAGACTCGGCCTCTCAAGGGACCTGCACTCACTATAACGATAAAGCGACGTCGAGATCTGGTCTAAGAGCTGAGATCTCTCGGCTACCATGTCTTGTCTGAATGTGCCGTTGTCTACGTCCTTGTGCTCGCGGCTCTCCTTTTCCACGTGGAGGAGCTGCTCTTCCAGCCTTGAGACTTCGTCTTGCATGCGAAGGGCCACCCGGACGTTGAGGCTCTTAAACCGACGGGCAATGAAAAGGTCAGACTCGGAAGCCAAGAGCTTACAGTAGGCCTGATATCCCTCATGCTTCCATGGTTTTTCTTGAATCGAAGTACTTGAATGCGATGCAGGTTTGACCGTGGTAATCAGTGATGCAACGGGCGGTGGTGGCGGAGGGGCCAGTGAGGAGGGCGCATTGCAAGAATCCACTGGAAATTGATTCTCAGCAGATGCATTAGCAGCGAGATCCAACCAATCTGGTTCTTCCATCTCAGACAGCGTGGGAGGATATAAAGGGCTATCCATCATGGCCGACGGGAAATGGACAACGCGCCCGCTTAGGCAAGCAAACGTAACAGAAGGAGCGAACGTAAGCCTAGACTTTAGAGACTTGACGAGCCTGTTATGTGCGGTTGGGAGAGTCGCTTGCCGAAACGCTAGCTCTGCGAAGGATTCGGGCCTTAAGCGCTGAGCCAGGAAGCTTGGCGATTGTGCGAGGGTGTTGATGATCAGGCTCGACGCCACGTCAGATATTATTGGACTATTCACAATGGGGATGTCTTAGCTATATAAAGCACAGGCGCCTACTGCTTTCTGAGCCTATATATACAGCTCGAGACCTCAGTGCGACTCCTCTCCACATCGTCCCTGACCCTCATTCTGCAAGATCAACAAACTGTTTCGACCATGGAGACCAACCCTGCTGTCACCTCCACTCAGGCGGCATTGGCCGACAGAGAAAGCCTGCTCTCGATCCAGAGACAAGGGCACAGGCACCGCAACTATGCGCACTTCAGTCGTTTTCGCTTCTCCAGCGATGTTAAGATTCTCGAATGCCTTGCCCACATCAAAGCAACCCAGGCAAAGAAAGGGGCGGTGCCACGGCCTAACCCTAGTATTCAGTCATCGTCCCAGAATACCAATGCCCAAAACCAACCTGATGGCGGGGACCAGAACTCCAGGGGTAACAACGATGGAAATGCCAGCGACTCGGATGGGGAAGATGACCAGCAGCGTCAAGGTCTCGCCCAGGTGACGGAAGACGGCTTTTCACGGTTACAAGCGCTGCAGACGCTGCTGGAAACCTCGGACCCGGTCATCTCTAACCGGATCCGATGGCTGAGGATCGAAGACCCGGACAATTTTGTGCTGTTCTGTCATCTTGCCGCCCTTAAAGCGCTGCAACAGCCCTGGGATAGGGTCCTCAAGCGCATTCGAAGCAACGTGGATGAGAGCATACAGCTGGTGCCGGTAATACAGCAATACTACCAGAAAGTAGTGGGTAGACCGCGCAAAGCTTCAGACCAATTTATCAACCTGGCGCACCGCATGGAGAGGTGGGACAGCAATTTGGCCAGGTTCGACGAGCAACATAGGCGGTGGAAGCTGATCCCCGTACGGGGAGATGCACCAATAAAACAGCCTCTGGAATTCCACATAGACATTCGGAAAAGATTCAACACCATCTGCTCCACAGAGAACACGGAGTTCTTCTGGTGGGCGGAACAGGCTATCCTCAGAGTGCTGAGCCGGTTCGACGCTCACCGTGAACACCAACCGCTCCGAAACACGCCATTCATGCCATACACAGCTAAACATCTCATCGGTGTGGTCGAGCACATATATTCCCAGCTGTGGACGGAGTGCTCTTCCTTAACCTGGTCTGAAGACACTTCCCGCCGGGTTTACAGCCTCGCGCGCCGGTTTATCCGCACGTCGCTCACCGAAGATGAAGAGACAAAACGCATGGTAGACGTGGCCGTAATAGTGGACTGTTTCGTCAATAAGGTGTGGGTGGATGTGGGGAGGGGTATCTGCAAGGCCCTGAAGGCAGGGCAGACCAAGTGTTCCACGGACGACCTCGAGATCCCCAAAATCCTTCGGCACTCGCGCGCAGAAAACAACCTAAAGGACACGTACAAAATTTGGCTCGTTTCCAGCCACAAAAGTGACCCCAACGCCCAGGCAGCCGCCCTCATCGAGGCAGATCCCGGTCCGCTGCAATATCAGGGAGTGGACAAGGTGAACCCCAGCGAGCTCTCCCGGGTCTGCGCCTCCGTGTATGATAGGCTTGGGCCCGCCAGACTGCCAAACGCAACATTCTTCAGCGATGCGTTCCCTGAGCCGGGGAAACCGTACCTCCTCGTATTTGAGGGCCCCTGGTGTATCAAAGTTGTCAAAATCTCGACAGAGGAAATTATTCACATGGGCTGGCATCCTCTTGCGAAGGGCCAATCCGGGTACGGGCGGTTCTATGCTATTCCAATGGGAGGCGTGAAAATTCCTGTATTGACAAGCATGGAGGAGACCATGGTTCAAATGATGATTCCGGATGGTCGGTTGGTATCGAGGGCGGATGTCGCGAAGCAGATGGAAGACGAGGGGTGAACACTGCCAAGAGGTGTTGATGACCAAACGGATGTCTAGATAGTGTGTATCGTTAGAAGGGAAAGCGAAAGGGGTTATGGTGAGGTACCAGGTAGTTTGTTATTTCATTCAGTCGATGTCAAAAATCACGCTTGCTTTTCTTATGTACCGCCTTATCATGTCGCTAGAGAGGGAGTTATACTCCACGCTTTGGTAAACACACTCTTGGACCTCAAGCTCTGTAGACTTTGTCCTTGCCAGGAAAGTTGTTTTGATAAGTGGATCCAGGGGTCCACTCTTGCCCCTGAACCCCTGGAAATGCCAATGGCTTGTACTATTTGCCATGTTTCAGGACATGTGTGATGGGCGCAAGCGGCATTTGAAGTAGTTCGTTCTCAAATAAATATTAAGACGAGAGATATTGATAGTTCTGGTCGATGTTGAACGGATCGTGTTTGAAATACAGGTTATGAAATCAATGGGTGTATATAAGGTGTCAAATTCCAACTTCCCCTGCAATGAAGTCGTGCCTAAGCCCTAGATCACATGAACGATGAAAGGTGGCAATGTACAATGGTCTTAAGCCAGCCACGGGATTCGCTACCGAAAAAGCTCCAGCTTTAAGGAGTTAGCGATTAAGACGACCTCCGGGGTTTTGGTTTAAACTCATACCTCGCTGAGATGCCTGGGTGCTCGTATTTGATACACATTTTGACTGACCTGTATAATGAAGTTGAGCATGTAGTTCAGATTCCAAGAGATACCTAAATGGAACGGGGATAACTCAAACATACGTCCACGTTATAGTTTCCAGATGGAAACTTCTCATTTAGAAGACTGTTTAGTTTCTCGGGACTGATGCACCTGCTCGGAATGCTAGTGGTGGATGCAGCAGGTATCGGCAGCTTTCTTCCGGTTGTATGGTGTGGGACCGTAAGAAACTTGTCAGACATTCTGGTGGGAGGGATAAACAAGGGTCAGTGAGTGTTGTAGGTGGTGGTTGTTTGGAATTGAACAAAGTTTAGAGAATGAAAGGTCACTGGCATCATGAGGACCTCAAAGATGGTCCCGAAAAACGACACCATATTTATTGATCCAACATGGAATCTGCCTTGCGGTTACTGAGATGGGACGCTTTCAGCTCGGTGTAAACTGACAAACTGCATCTCAACAAATTGAGATAACCCCGGCCTTCGATAATGAAATATGGCCAATCAAAGTGGGAAATGGAGAGACTAGAGCAAAGCCACGGGCGGTTCGCAAGGCTTTCTTCCACATTTGGCTAGTATAAATAGGGTCTGAAAACAGCACAGGCCCGAACCTCGGCCCACCTTCAGCTGCAGGTGACGGCCGCTGCATCCACCACTCTAAGTCGCGTGTCGCTCTACGAAAAGCGTACCCGCCTGTGGTGGGCGCACACCCCCCTCCACTTCCACAGAGACAATCTGAAGCTGGAAGTACATATACTTCACAGCTACATTGCGCTCCGACCAGAGACATAACAACGGAGACGGAGGTTGACCCTCTGAACACCTGCCCCGCTCGGCCTTACAATTCATGCACATCTGTAAATTCAACCTCTGTCATCAAGTATCTCAAGTCGATCATATTTATTGGGACATGGAGGTTTAGAGATGAGATGTACGATTCCCAACACCCTCTTCTGTTTGTTCGGTTTGCAGCTGACATACATGTACCAGGTATCATTTTCACCAAAGTCCGGAAGACATGAAGGCAACTAACCACGACATTCACCAAAGAACCAGCAAATAGATCTTTGCGCGAGATAGAAGATGTCTTGCTGTGTCTTCACGAATTCTTGACAGCTTGGAGACGGTGAATTGACAGGTGCTGGGAAATGGCAAGTATGTCTCCGATGCTCGCATCCGATGAAAGAAAGTACAGCTGGGTACCTACGCGGCACCTCAACCAGCATTCGTAACTGCCCACCTTGCAGACAAGATTGTCATGGATGCGGAAGATGCTGCCAGCATCGGCTCTCAGGAAATTTCAGCGGTTAGTTGGGCACAGGGCGAGTGTGCACAGAGTGCATTTTCGGCATCATAAGGCTCTTGGAAAGTCGGTAAACACGGAAGCGCTGGAGGTAGCTGAGACCATACCCAAAATCATTGACGGCAATGTGCAACCACACGGCACAGAGTATTGGACGCCTTGTCAAAGTGCGGAATTTGAGGTCTTCAACTGCAAGATCTGCTACAACAAGAGTAAGAACAATCGCAAGGCTGGGGCCAAGGAAAAACCAGCTGTGTCGCTTAAAAAGATGAGTTTCCCGTCATACCAGATTTGGAACATGTTACTTAACTTCATTCTTTCCTCGAAAAAACCTAGATCGACATACATGCCTAGCCTTCTTCTTTGTCCCAGCTTCATCTACCTACTTTCAGCGCATTTGTAGATACCTACCTACCTTCCCAGCCTCCCCAAATAACCTTAGGTACCTAGGTATCTACTCTACCCAGACCGCTACCTACCTTGCCTATTCATCGTGCATCACTTCGTTGCTGGATTGCACACGACAGCACCTGGTATCTTCACATCTTTACCTGCCAAATCTATCACCATGCCCGATTACGACGACACACCACCACTTCCTGAAGACAATAACGACTCACCGCCAATGCCTGAAGATAACGACAACACATCACTAATTCCTGAAGAGGACGATCCCTTGGAGGTACCAACTTTCATCTTATCTATTTTACACCTATTCAGTAAAACTTTTCTATTGACAGTTCACCCTTAGAACGCTACTGAATACGATGCACGATCCAGCCAGCGCGACAGTCCTCATTACATTGCTATGCGCGGAGAGATGCCCTCAGTATTTGTCAACGGTGTTGCTAGTCCTCTCGATTACGATCGTGCGGCCAACGATCAAGGACCCCTTGAGGGAGGTCGGCGGGCCGAAAACCCTTCCAGTCTCAGGAGGAGAAATAGCAATGCATCATCAGCTCGCTCCGAAATTACCGTGTGGGATCTCGGGGAGGAACTGTGCGATGCGTGCCATCGAGACACTCTAGGAGAAAGGGAAGAAATTCCCATCGAGAGTCCCACCAGCACTAGCAAGGCCCTCATGGTACGCCTTTGGTCACTTCGGCATCCAAAGGACAGCTCGGACCACAAGCTACCACAATTCTTCCCTTGGAGATCTGTGGAAAAGCTCATCACACCACAAGAGGTCATCCGCGCTCTTCAAGGAGCTCGAAGTGGATTGGCCGATGAAAAAATCGAGCGGTATGCAGACCAGATTTGCCGACCTCATAAGTGCGCCGACGATCGGGTAAGCAACTCTGGGTTTCGCAAAATCTTCGCTATTCTGGTCAAGATGAGCCGCGCAGTGGACATCACCCACTTCGTTGATAAAGGCATCTGTGACGGCGATCTCCCATTGACAGCTGTTCCAGTTGACGATGGTCAGATGGAAATGCGGCTACGGGGACAGGAGAACAAAAAGCTTGATTTTCTCCGCCATTGGAATGACGAGCTCAAGCATAATGACTTTGAGGAGCTGCAATGGACTATGCTAGTACCTTACTTCGCCAAACGACCAGGCCACTCGGCGAGATTGTATGTGCTACCAAAGAAAGTCGTATTACCATGGCTCTCAGAGGAACGTCAGTTTGAAGGTGGCCACAGCTGGGTTTCAAAGGTGAAGATCCACCCCCATCATCACAACTTCAACCAACTCGAAGACCATGTAAGGCGCCCTTTTCCCGCCAGCGTTTGGAGTCACGCACTAACAAGAGGCTTATTACCACCCTCATCAAGATGGTATCCAGCAACATCTTTGCCGTCAAACACTTGAAAGCGCATTCAACCGATGACGCCAGCAATACTGACCTCTTCCCACCTGCCAACGGAACGCCAGGTGTCGCCAACCTGCAGGTGGTAGTTTCCAAAGCCACCGTCTTTTCTCAGTACGAGATAAAGACGGAGTTCGAACAAGAAATCGAGATATTGAACCGTCTGAGCCGTCGTCCTCATCCCCATTTGATCACCTTGCTCGCAGCATACCAGCTTGGTGACGAATGTTGCATGATCTTTCCTTGGGCTGACTGCGATCTCAAGAGCATGTGGCAAACTTCACCGGACCCTGGAGACCCACTCGAGAAGATCAAGTTGAAATGGGTACTGGACCAGTGTTTGGGGCTCGCTCAAGGCCTTAACCAAATCCACCACTCGAAACCTACGCCAACCCCCAGTGAGAGCAAGATGTTGCAACGAGTATATGGCAGACACGGAGACATCAAGCCGGAGAACATACTGTTCTTCAGAGATAAAACCAAGCCTGACGACAAGGGAAAACTGGTGATTACCGACTTTGGGTTGACCCGATATCATGGGAACGACACGAAGACGTACCTCCGTGATATGAAACCACCAGCCACGCCCACCTACCGTCCGCCGGAATGCGACATAACAACCTCTCCAATTTCTCAATCCTTCGACATCTGGTCATTCGGCTGCGTTTTACTTGAGTTTATTGCCTGGCATCTTGGTGGCTGGCCTCTCGTCGAACAGTTTGTTAAGAAACGGAAGCTTCAGAATCCACTGATGAACAACTGGCAAACGGATCAGTTCTTCGAGATCTTGCAAGATAATCCCAATTATGGGTCTACCGGCACTGTGGTTGCGCGGGTTAAGCAGGAGATTCATGAGGTCAGTTGTTTTGTTGCCTTGTCTCATGGTAGCATCAGCTATCTTTTTCACCAATCCGACCAGAAGCTAACAATTTCTGGCTGAATAGTTTGTCAGCGAGCTTCACTCACATCCCTCTTGCTCAGATACCATTCATCATCTTCTCGATTTTATTATGAGTGAGATGATCGTTGTTGAGCTCAAGAGGAAACGGACCGGGACGACCCATGACTCCTCCCTGTCAAAGCAGAATCACACACGGGCCCAATGCGGCAATGTTGTCAAGAAGCTGAAGTCACTTTGTGCACAGCTAGACCAACTTCCGGATATGTTAACGGCGACTCCTTGTAGTGCTGAGATCAGGCCATCGATTGTCGTTGAGATGAAGGGGTACCCTGTGGGAGGTAGGTACGCGGAGCTTCCAGTCAATCGGGGCACTACTGTCAGGGCTACGGATCGCCCAGAACACGGATTGGGGCATCCGGAAACTTGGTGAAAACGATTTAGTGTATTGTTGTGTCGAGGGAAATCTTTTGCCGTTTTCGGACTCGCTTGCAGGGTGTGTAGTTAATGAGTCAGCACCCCACCCCTCTCTCCGCCACGATTATTTTCAGCTTTGTTTCGAAAATAACATTCAGACTACAAGTTGATTAAAATCGGTTTATAACGTTCAAGATATAGGGTAATTATAAAAAGCGCAGACGAGGCTACGAGGGATTAGTGCAAGGTGTGGTTCTCAAGTATAGACGAAGGGAGCCTGGAGGTCTGGTCGATATACAACCCCCATAGACAAGATTCTGCTGAAGAGCCTATTGGATCAGCCCAGGCCAGTCGGCCCAGTAGTTCCCGCAGGAGACTTTAACCTACACCACTGTCACGGCCTGGCAGTGAATGATGACATGATGCAACGGCACAAGGATGCAGGGTTATGGTTGTAGGTGGAGAGGGCTGCGGCTAATCAGGGAAGAGCAAGTGACAGGGATATATTCTGGAGCAAAGCTCGCAAGCCACACACTTAGCTTTCCTTCCTCTTCATCTCACAATTACTTCAATAGACTGGGTTATTGGTATTGGCTTGACCTACTATGCCTTCTCCTTCGTGGCAGGTATATAGCTAGACTGGAGACTGAATTAGATAGCGCATGAGGCGAAGGTAGTTGAAAAGCTAAGGACTTAGGATTACGCACTATCTAGGATTGCAGCTAAAACCTAGGGCCTGGGTGTGACGAGAGGCACTTTTACAAGGCACAAAGGCATTGGTATAGGTAGCTCAATTCATAGGATTTTTGACTAAAAAAGAAAAGAAGAGAAGAGAAAGAGTGAGCCCCGCAGCGAGCTCTCAGAATAACCTAACCAGCCCCTCTTAGGTGGCTGCAGCCAATCAGTGTTCAAGGGAAGTTGGGTAAGCTGCTAGTGGCATAGCAGCGCCGTGACACTGGGCCTCATCAGAGTGCGGGAGGTATACACCAAGTGCATTAGAAGCGCCATAGTATACGGAGCTACCAACTACCACACACCCACACTAACTGGGGGTCAACTACAGGGTCTAGCGAAGAGGCTGGTGAAAGCTCAGACAAGGAACCTCAGGATAGTAACTGGAGCATACAAGGCTACACCGATCAGAAACTTAGAAACCGAAACCTGGGTGCCACTACTAGACTTATACCTCAACAAAAAGACTGGCAGACTTTGAAGCTCGGCTATAGAACCCATCTCTGCGTAGTGGGCAAGGACTAGATGCATCAAAGCACCCACCAAGGCAGCTCGTCCGAAGAGCTTACAATAGGATATACCGACGCTTCTAAAGACGAAGGCTAGGCCGAAGACCCATCTACCTACAGGAACCTACAGTTATCGAGAGAGCTGTTATTACTATCGACCAGTGGATCAACTAGCACCGGAGCCAAAGTGAGAGCCAGGGAGAGACCCAGGGAGAGTCTAAAGGAGGGACCCAGACAGAGAGCCTAAGAGAGACCTCGGTACCCACGATAGAAGTGGCACTGTACCAGGTATAGGAAAACCACTAGAGAAAGCAAGTGGAAGGCTGACCTGCTAGGATAGCAGACGAAGGACCGCCAGAGATACTTTTCACAGACAAAGCCTTAAAGAAACATAAGGATTTAACTAAAGCTTAGAGCTCTCTACTGGTCCAGGCTTGTACAGAAGCAATAGGTCTGCGGGACTTCCTATTTAAGTAATAAGTCCCAGGCCTAGCCACTCCCTACTGTACTTGCGGAGAGGGCCGTGAAATAGTCGAGCACCTCGTTATATAGTGCCCAGTTCTACCGAAGCCTAGATCTTAGCCAACAAACAGTATCCGCTCGGACCGAGTTCTCAGCCTTGTACTTCAAGGTATAGGGTCCTGGAACCGAAGGCTATTGGGAAAGGTCCTGAGCTAGCTAATGGATTCTGGCTGCTTAATAAAATACAGTCTAGCGAGAAAGCTAGAACTAAAGCATGAGGCTATATTGCTAGGAGAAGAAAAGATAAAAGAGGTAGCTAGAGCTGAAGTCGAGGATGTAACGTGTAATAGTCTCAAAGTAATATATTGCAACTAACTAGGCCACTCTACGAGTACACTAAATTTGAAGAAGAAAAGGAAAAGAGAAAGGGAAAGTTGACAACATAAGCCTCTGATATAGCTGAGCGCGTTGGCCAGTGCGCGATGATAGAAGGTTCTGGAGTAGTAATCTGTGCGTGGGTTCTGGGAATAGCTTCATTAAGGCCAAAGGTTGCCGAGGTCTATACCAAGGCTCAGCCCATTACATAATAAGTTAGGCCCTGTAGTGGCTTTGGGCAACCCTCAGCTCCCACAAGCAACTCCTCGGATAAAACTATTCCTAGAACCCACTTAGCTCCACACAGAGCACTGCGACAGAAACATCTAAAACCTTCTCTCTTTACACTCGAATCAAGATGCAAAACTATATTAAATGCTCACCATAGTAAGCTTACTTATTCTTATCTTCCCTTTTCTTCTTTAAGTTTAGTATACTCGTAGAGTAGCCTAGCTAATTATAATATACTACTATTATAGTACTGTAACGAACCCCTATCCAGAACCTCTGAAAGGGATACTTAGTTAAAGGTACTTCTAGATAATTAGTTCGGTGTAGCTAAATAGTACACAACAATGGCTTGTCTCAATCACAATAGTCTAATACCAACGAATATAACTTATATTATATACTGCGGAACTATCTTCGAGCTATCTAGTTCCTCCGTATATATAGACCTAATGCCAAGCCTGGCACTATCCTGGATCGATAGACTCGACCATCGATCCTATCGATATTATCCTTTTTGGAGTTAACTCTCCTAGATCGATCCTTAATCCCATTAATCCTGTTCTGATTAGTCCTTATTCCTATACTAATAATTAGTTCGTAATACGCCCGCGCCCCACTAAGTGTTAAGCTGTGACACTCTGCCGTCCATAGTAATTATAATTAGCTTTTAGACCTCCGAACGGACCTCCGATTCAACCTGGGAGTCCGGGTAGCTAGCGCCCGGAGTTCCAGAAACTTAGCGAACGGCAACGGAGAAGAGATTGGGGGAAGAATACGGAGCCGAAGATCTAAGAGGCTTGCCCTCAGAACTGTTCACTATAATATTTTCTTACTTAATAAGTCAATTCAATACACTAGTTCACCACACTTTTCAATGCCTCACAAGCTTATATTACTGTAATCACCTTGTATATTGCAGAGCGCCGTCCCTGCAATCCATCTTCCTTCAGTGTCAAGCCACTGTCGTATGCTACAGATAAAGCCCAATTCACTCTTAATATACTGCGCCCACCACCACGCAGGCTTATGCCTATAGGCCTGCAAAGCATATACTTTAACAAATTAGAATGCTATGTCGAGCGACGCTTCCTTAATCGATCCTCTTCTAGCTACTTAGGTCCAAATTACCCCAGATTCCTTCAGTGAAACTCCGTTAATTTCTTAAGGTGTCACAACCAACTATATAGCACGACCAAGCGGGGACTGTAGCTAACCATGCCGGCCAATCAGAGGAAGGGAACACGACGGCAGGGCTGCAGGGTCAGACAGAGGCTCACTGCTTGGCAAGGTGAGCCGGATCACCTCCGCTCACTGGTGAGCAGGAGTGATCCAGGTACGGAGGTACTTGGGGGGTTCATGGTCTATATATACGGAGGAAGTAGATAGCTTGTAGATAGTTCCGCAGTATGCAATCACAGCTTGTATTCACGGTATCTTGTATTTACATTGAGACATCTTGTTATGCAATGTTTAGCTGCACCGAACCAATTGTCAGAAGTAGCCTTCAACCGAGTATCCCTTTCAGAGGTTCTGTACAGGGGTTCGTCACACTATAATTGGTTCCAGGTTCAGCTAACTTCAGTCTGTCCAACACCTCCTATCATCTCACGGAAAACACTGCCAATCACAAGTCACGCCGCCATCTAGATATATAATTGGCTAATGAAAGTTGCTAAGGTGCGGGGTATCAGGGACGATTTCGTAATCATGGGATATCGGCCTGAAGTCCAACTTGATGCCATCATTGCCACCTAAACTTCAATTAATCCAAGAACGACTTAACCAAAACAATTGCGATAGCAACATCAATCACTTCAAAATTCTGAGCCCACCGAGACTCACAATACAGCGGCCAGCCGTCCCGTGTGTCTCTCGAGCACCAGCTGCATCTCTGAACAGCTTGCCTTCTCCTACTCTACCCTTGCGCGCCCCTCATCACGATCGGTCGAAGCCCGCGATAGTTCTTAAGACACATTGCAAAGGGTCTTCCTTATACCCTACAACTGCCCAGTAAGATAACTCCCAACACCAGACAATCGCGGCGCGCTATTTGCTTCAGCTTCTGATTGTTTTCTTCCCGCAGATTACAAATATCCTCGTTCATCTGTCGCACCCATCGCTCCGCCCTTTCACCTTTCCGGCCGAGCCTCGGCAGTCCCGAACCATGCGTCTCCTGGAACGTGACGATGCCGGCGGGATCCGCCTGACGAAGGACCTGCCCAGCGACAAAATTCCGCCTTATGCGATTCTTTCACACACATGGGGGCCCGATGAGGAGGAAGTTAGCTATAAAGATTTAGAGGACGGCAGAGCCGTAAGCAAACTCGGATACAACAAGATCCAGTTTTGCGCAGATCAAGCTGGGCGTGACGGGCTGAAATTATTCTGGGTCGACACATGCTGCATTAACAAGTCCAGCAGCACCGAGCTTCAGGAGGCGATCAATTCTATGTTCAGGTGGTATCGTGATGCGGCCAAGTGCTATGTTTATCTCGCAGATATCTCGACACACAAGCGGAACGTTGATGGCAGCTTTGCTTCGGAACAAACATTTCTGCAATGCAAATGGTTCACCCGTGGATGGACCCTCCAAGAGCTCATTGCTCCAACAATCGTGGAGTTCTTCTCTAAGGAGGGCGCCTATCTAGGGGATAAGCTGACTCTGGGAAATGATATTCACAGCGTGACCGGGATTCCCCTTGAAGCTCTCCGAGGTACTACATTGTCCAATTTCAGTGTCGAAGAGCGCATGTCGTGGGCCAAGAAGCGCAAAACAACACGCAAAGAAGACAAGGCGTACTCTCTATTTGGCATCTTTGACGTGCAAATGCCGCTTCTTTACGGGGAAGGAGAAGAGAAAGCATTTCGGCGGCTGCGAGAGGAGATCAACAAAGTTTCAAAGAGTATAGAGACATACGGTGAGGTCGACGCTCGCTGTCTGTCTGATCTACGCTCCACCGACCCCCGCCACGACAAGAAGCGTATCGAAGACGCAAAAGGCGGTCTCCTGAAAGACTCGTACCGTTGGGTGCTTGACAACCCCGAATTTCAACGATGGCGCGATGGTGACGACCAGCGGTTGCTTTGGATCAAAGGCGACCCCGGCAAAGGCAAGACTATGTTACTTTGCGGCATCATCGACGAGCTGGAAGTGTCTACGCCGACCAGCCTTCTATCCTTCTTCTTCTGCCAAGCCACCGACCCGCGCATCAACAGTGCCACTGCTGTCCTCCGCGGCCTAGTCTACATTCTTATCAAACAACAACCAACACTCATTTCACACGTACGACAACATTATGATCCTGCGGGCGGAAGGGGGTTCGAGGATCCTAACACATGGGTTGTCTTATGTGAGATCTTGACTAGCATTCTACAAGATCCAGTCGTGAGAATAGCGTATTTGTTCATCGATGCGCTTGACGAATGCGTGACAGACTTGCCACGGCTTCTCAAACTAATTGTCGAGATGTCAAGCACATCTTCTCGCGTCAAGTGGATTGTCTCAAGTCGTAATTGGACACAAATCGAAGAGGAGTTGGAGATGGCTGCGCAAAATGCCAGGTTGAGCCTCGAGCTGAATGCCAAATCTGTCGCTGCTGCCGTCAATGCATACATTCGCCACAAAGTTGATGATCTGTCGCGCCGGAAAAAGTATGATACTACTACAAAGAGTGAAGTACAAGACTATCTTTCTTTAAACGCAAACGGGACCTTTCTCTGGGTGGCATTGGTTTGCAAAGCGCTTACGGACGTTCCGAAGTGGCGCACAAAAGGAAAGTTAAAGACCTTTCCGCCTGGGTTGGACTCTTTATACGGGCGAATGATGGGGCGAATTCAAAACTCCGAAGATGCAGATCTCTGTAGAGATATTCTCGCCGTCGCTGCGACTGTCCGCCGACCTGTAAGTCTTGATGAAATCACCTCCCTTGTTAGGATGCCGGATGGCATTTCTGACGATAGGAGGTCTTTGGAGGAGATCATTAGCCTTTGCGGCTCATTCCTGACCATCCGAGAACAAACTGTTTATTTCGTCCATCAATCAGCCAAAGACTTCCTGTCTGGGGAGGTTTCTAACAACAACAATTATCAGGACGCTTTCAAGTGGGTCTTCCACGCAGGCAAGGAAAAAGTGAACCACGACATCTTCTCGAAGTCACTCCATATAATGTCCACAGTATTACGACGCGACATATATGGCTTGAAAGCACCGGGTTTCTCGATCGACCAAGTCTCCGTGCCGAACCCCGATCCGCTAGCTTCGGTACGATACTCATGTATCTACTGGATTGATCATTTATGTGACTTGATCTCCAGCACGAACTCCAAATGGGTTCATCTTCTGCAGGATAATGGGGATGTTCAAAAATTCCTTACAACGAAGTATCTTTACTGGCTAGAAGCTCTTAGTTTACTCGGAGCTCTCTCGAATGGAATCAATGCCGTCGGACAACTTCAGGGCTTACGGGTAAGTATGAAACAGCCCAGATGATACATTCTAGGCTAAAAGTGACATAGGGAAGCAACAACAATGGGCAGTTGAAAGTCATTATCCAGGATGCACACCGGTTTGCTCAGTCATACGGACAAATAATACAGCGAGCACCTCTTCAAGTATATTTATCGGCCCTTGTATTTGCTCCGATTGGCAGCTTGATAAAGAATATCTTCAAGGAAGAAAAGCCCGGATGGCTTAGTACGGGATCAGTAGAAATGCAATGGAATGCCTGCACACAGACGTTAGAGGGCCATCGCGGCCCGGTTCGGTCGGTCGCCTTCTCCCCGGACGGCCAGCGCGTAGCATCGGGCTCGGACGACAACACCATCAAGATCTGGGACGCGGCATCGGGGACCTGTACACAGACGTTAGAGGGCCATCGCGGCCCGGTTTGGTCGGTCGCCTTCTCCCCAGACGGCCAGCGCGTAGCATCGGGCTCGGACGACAACACCATCAAGATCTGGGACGCGGCATCGGGGACCTGTACACAGACGTTAGAGGGCCATCGCGGCCCGGTTCTGTCGGTCGCCTTCTCCCCGGACGGCCAGCGCGTGGCATCGGGCTCGGTCGACAAGACCATCAAGATCTGGGACGCGGCATCGGGGACCTGTACACAGACGTTAGAGGGCCATCGCGGTCCGGTTTGGTCGGTCGCCTTCTCCCCGGACGGCCAGCGCGTGGCATCGGGCTCGGTCGACAAGACCATCAAGATCTGGGACGCGGCATCGGGGACCTGTACACAGACGTTAGAGGGCCATCGCGGTCCGGTTTGGTCGGTCGCCTTCTCCCCGGACGGCCAGCGCGTGGCATCGGGCTCGGTCGACAAGACCATCAAGATCTGGGACGCGGCATCGGGGACCTGTACACAGACGTTGGAGGGCCATCGCGGCACGGTTCGGTCGGTCGCCTTCTCCCCGGACGGCCAGCGCGTAGCATCGGGCTCAGTCGACGAGACCATCAAGATCTGGGATGCGGCATCGGGGACCTGTACACAGACGTTAGAGGGCCATCGCGGCTCGGTTCGGTCGGTCGCCTTCTCCCCGGACGGCCAGCGCGTAGCATCGGGCTCAGTCGACAACACCATCAAGATCTGGGACGCGGCATCGGGGACCTGTACACAGACGTTAGAGGGCCATCGCGGCCCGGTTTGGTCGGTCGCCTTCTCCCCGGACGGCCAGCGCGTAGCATCGGGCTCAGTCGACGAGACCATCAAGATCTGGGATGCGGCATCGGGGACCTGTACACAGACGTTAGAGGGCCATCGCGGCACGGTTTGGTCGGTCGCCTTCTCCCCGGACGGCCAGCGCGTGGCATCGGGCTCGGTCGACAAGACCATCAAGATCTGGGACGCGGCATCGGGGACCTGTACACAGACGTTAGAGGGCCATCGCGGCTCGGTTCTGTCGGTCGCATTCTCCCCGGACGGCCAGCGCGTGGCATCGGGCTCGGTCGACAAGACCATCAAGATCTGGGACGCGGCATCGGGGACCTACACACAGACGATAAATATTGGTTCAACTACTACCCATCTATCGTTCGACCATACCAACACTTACATTACTACGAATATCGGGCGTATACAAATAGCCACGGCCACCATGGAAATTCCAAATCAGCTGGGCAATCCAGTATATTATTCGTATGGTTTAGGACAAAACAACCGCTGGATTACTTGCAATAACAAGAACGTATTATGGTTGCCACCAGAATACCATGCACGCGCTTTTGCCGTGCAAGGGCGCAAAATGGTCCTTGGCTGTTACTCAGGACGTGTTGTAATATTCTTATTCTCTCGAGATATTTAACATTTTAACGTTCGGCTTCTTTCTCTCTTATATTTTTCTTTCTCGTTTACCACCAAAGGGGTGTGGGGGACTAAATATATTTATACTTGCCACAGAGATTTGGAACTAGTGGATTAGTGTTAAACCGAGGTCGTGCACTCTTTGATTGAGGTATTCAACTGCCGTAGGGATATAATTGGTCCGTATACGATCTTACTAGTGTTCCCCTGGTGGCCTTTTTGGATGTGGGCTCTTCGTTGTTGCGCAGTAAGTGTCGCCGTCTTTGTTAAATGCAAAAGGAGTCGATGAGTCTGGAGAGATAAAAGTTCGAACTAAAGAAAGAGCTATAATCCAGTAATTTATCAAGTTTTACCACTTATTAATAAATACGCTTATATCAGAAGCACGGAACTAACGACATAATAAAAGCTTATAGCTCTCTATATAAAATCAACAACCGTTTAGTTTGGTTTAGTTTAGTAGCATGAATCACTTTGTCATATAATAGTGGAATCTGCATCCTTAGGAATCTAGAATCTGGGATCTGGGATCTAGGATCTATGGCTGGGCTCGAGGGAATAAACAACCTTATATTTATCCAATACACGGTGAGGCTAGGCTAAGGGGTTCCGCTGTGCCGCAGGGATCAATAAACCCCGCCGAATCTTCAATAAAGGCGTGACTTAAGGCAGCAAAGCACGATCATGAAAACGGGCTGGCAAAGTTAGTACCTATCCAGTCAAAAGAGTAGAATTAGGCAGTTGACTATCATGCATTTTGGGAATGCATTCTCCATATATGCCTCATTAGCACTAGAATCCCGAAATTTATTTTTGCCGCCCCGTTTTTATTTTCAAGTTCTATTTTCTGTTGGCGCTTATGCGCCTGAGGCCATTGGAAGATAGGGGGGAGTGAATGTAAAAATGGGAAGAGAAATCTTCCTCAATTTTTGGCAGTATGTCTTCCAGAATCAGCATTGGATTTCCCTCGAACTGATAGTCTGGGTGTGCTTCCACATGCACTGTTCATTCCAACTTTTTCGATTCATCTATGCTCGGTAGGTATAACAGAGATATTTGGAGGCCACTCCTTCGTATTTGGCTTCTGTCTCGTATGTAATTATTGACGAAGGAAAAAAACGGGGTTTTGCAACAGTCCTGTGCCCAACTGAATCCTTGAGTGTCGATTTGCTGGACTCGACCCCTACGCAGTGGTACCCCGCCCCTGACCAGCGTGCCTAGAGATACTTCAGGTCCCGAAGAGTTGTCAACGTCTGGGTCTTCGGGATCGACGAGAATAATGTGGTTGTCTGCTCTGGATATACTGAATATGTTCCTGCAAATTCGCACGACACGATAAGCGTTTGTGTGATTTTGCTTGTTCTTGTTCACCAGCAAAGATGGTCGAAACTCAGCAACATGGGGACTTACCGCGGTCAAAACTTCAGGGTGCGGCAGTGTGACCCAACAAACCCCCATCTCAATCTGGTGGCGGGACAGTGCATGTCAGAGGACAGCCATAATGCATGCATGTGGATGAAAGAAGTAAGAGACCAGTGATCAAACTTTAGGAAGGGGGGTATGAGGGCAGCCCAAGACTTCGACAACACGTTGCCAGACTTACTTCGACGAAAAATTGAACTTGAGCGAAAAGAGCCCTGAGTTCCGAGTCAAGGTAGTCGTTGTCGATGTACCTCAGGCGAATGGGCCCGTGGCGAACCCAGAGAGGCTCTGCCATTTCTCTCCTGTGTTGGGCGCTGAAAGCCCTGGCTCAGAGGGGGATCAGCCAGGTGTAAAGTACTGGCTAAGCCCGGATGGGTAAAGAAGCGGCGAGGATGTTTCGTGCCGAAGACCAAACCCGGCCTGAAAAGAGGCTTTGTATGGCGGGCACGTTGCGAGAAAGACTCAGACTTCCAAGGCATTCTGCATAAGAAGATTTATTGAAAGAGCCCCAACTTATATACAAATTGGAGCCTCACATTCTGCCTGCATTTAGGTATTTTTGATGTACGGTTATGCAGCAGGGAAACTTCACTTTTGGTTGCGCTGTCAGCACGCCTCAGAACGCAGGCAAACCTGGAGCCCAACTACGCCCGATGCCCTGCAATGATACTCTGCTTAGAATGAGTACATGGGCTGGCTCGATATTGCAGATGCATGGTCCATTGCACCAACAAGGCAGCCAACAGTGTCTGAACAAGATACTCTTGGCCGTCGTAGCACAGGTGATCTAACCAGAAAATGCCTTGATGCAGGCTGAGCCGCTTGGAATGACCTGACATGGAGTGTTATCATTGGTCGGACGATCCCGTGGCATTCAATCGAGGAACTTAAGGCCATCCCGTCCCAACTGTGGTTCGCGCACCATTCAGCGAACCTCCGCTCGGTCATCGTTGAACCTGACTTTCGGGGCAGTCCTGAAAACAAAACAGTTGGAATTGGTGTGTTGAACAGGGTAGCTACGAATCACCGAATATACACCATCGAGAAACAGATCATAATGGATTGGCCATTGAATGACCCCAAGTTCATCAAGGAGGATTTTGAACAGTTCTTTGCATACCAGGAAAAGCCTCGACGAAGCAAAGCAGTTGGCCGGTTTTGGGGCAGCGATGTATGATCCTATGCCCTGTAACGCAGTGTTGTTTGGCGATGCTGAATGTGAAGACAACAGGATTTGGATGAGAGGTCATTACACACAGATTGCGATGTACGCGAGTGGCTCGAGCTGGTACGTACATCTCCATCTTCAGCTGTATGCAATCATGTAGGGCTACTTACTGACGGTGGTGCACGTATTCAAGTCGAAGGATCAAAGCCAAAAGCCTGGACTGTCTTTCATGCAAGTTACCCAGGTCGCGCTCTTTGCCGCTTGCATTGTCTTGCAGAACGTGAATGACACTTGCTAAACTCCGGGGCTCTTCCTTTAGTCTCGCCAGCTGTCATGAAGCCACCCGGCATAACCCAGCACATCTCAGGAAACTATCTTTTACCTATGAAGCCTTCCAACAGATTACAAGCTCTCTTCCGCTGCATGGGGACACAGCGCGTATCATCAGCAGATCGGACTTGTCTTTCTTTGAAGAGATAGATCTCTACTCGCACGCTGGTAGAAACATCTGTGAGTAAACAGCAAAAGTCACTGTCCAGGCTATGAAATTAATATCTACCTACAGATTATTGCTGTCGCACATCTGGTCTTTGGGCCGAAGATTTGGCAGTTTCTTGTGTCTTCAATCCAAAGACAGGATTCACGTCTGGAGTTGTCTTTGGTTGTTCGGACGATGTTGCGGAAGAAATAGCAGGGCGCATAGAGAACGCGGAGAATTCCTGGATGCACCCTCTGCTGATGATCGGTATCGTTGCGGAGATCGAAAGAACACGACATATGAAACTGGTTGAGGATCACTTATTCAAGCTTCTTCAGCGCGTCCAGAGCATGAGCAAGTCACCTGAGATCTTGCCGACTTCCCAATTGGCCCGCGAGAACTACTCGGTTGACCTGTGGATTGAGGTCAGTCAGCTGAGAATTGCTCTTGTTGCATGGCGGGCCCAGCTGTGCAAAATGGATGCCCATATTCAAGATTTAGAGAGGATTCTTTTGGAGGCGCTCTCTCGTCACGAGGAGATTATCTCGTCATCGCCGTGCTCAGTGGAATTGGGAAACAGTTTCGACTCGGGCAGGACTCTCACCTTCGGCCACAACGATATACACGAGGTCCATCAGACTTCTGACGAATTGAAAGCGTTAGGATCATGGCATCAATACGCCAGAGAAGAGGGAAGAAGAATACAGAAGAGACTCAGAGAGATCATTGGCGAATATGACTGCAAACTCAGAGAGTGTTCCATGGTCCTCGATGGGGTGTCATTGTCAGCCCAGCTAGTAAGTGATATCAGATTCTTCCACGGATGACAGGCAAAGATAGGCTGCTTCCAAGTCTCATTCACTCAGGGAAGCATGGAGGTTGACACGCACGTTTATCGAGTCGTACACGCTAATTTATTGGTGTTCGGAGTAGTCGTGGAATCAAATCGCCTTTCAAGACACCCGAACAAACATGAAGATAGCTTCAGCCACACGTCGAGATGGCAATCAAATGCGATTGATAGCCCTTCTGACCATGGTGTTTCTCCCAGGTACTTTTCTCGCAGTAAGCTACCTACCCACGCTTCCACAAACTTAGTTCTGCTTTTCTAACGCAGCTCGCTAACAAATTGATAGTCGCTATTCTCAATGACATTCTTTAACTGGGATGCGTCAGAAGGGGAGCAGATTGTGTCTCCTTATGTCTGGATATACTCGGTGGCCGTAGTGCCCATCACTGCGGTGGTTGTAGGGCTATGGTATTACCTGACAAAGCGAACGCGGTTCAGCGATACTGATTGCACTGTGGATGAAAAAGTATAACTTGCATATTTCCTAGGAGATGGCTTGGTTATCACAGACTATTATTTGGGCGAACCTCTACAAAAACATGGTGACATTATGAGAATGAAACTATGGCTGAGCTTTTGCGCTCCTTGCTGTAACTGAAGAGGGAAGTACTTCAGCAACCTCAAGTTCACTGGATGCTCATTGGTCCATTTCATTTACAGCATCGCACAGATTTGACTTTCCGAGCGAAGCTCAAAGATCTAGGCGGAGAACCACGAAGGCGAAGAGATTCGCTCCTACCTTACCCCGGTATGTGGGTGCCGTAGACAACCACAGTTAACGGTTTTGTATTTTTGCCCTGACGTTGAGAGTCAGTCTGACATGGTCTACGTAGTTGTTTTTAAGTGGGGAACGTTTATCACTCGAAGAGAGTGGAATCGGGGGCTCAAAGGACCGCGTACTGTGCAGGTGGCACAACTCCCTCGGTGCGTACCTAGGCACTTACCCACAAATGTGATGGGGTTGCCAGGAAAGCTTACCTAGGTACATAAGCTCGCCACGTACTCGTACAAACAACAACAATAACACCGAACAATGAAGGTGCTGAGTCGCTCCGATGTTGTGTCATCACTAAGCACCTATCAAGTGACTGTTAGGCACCCGGATGTGAGTCAACAGCTACCTTATGTTGTACCAGGTGGATGACTTGCATCAATTGGCTTGAATAGACATGTCTCGTCTTATCCCTGGATAGCTACCTTCCAGATTACTGGGGATACAAAGCCATTCATGCAAACAACAAAGCCTGTCTCTGTTCCCATGATACGAAAACTGTGAGAGCTTCAGAAACTTGCGTGAGACTTCCGTCTCTCGGATTTTGTGAACTTTGATAGCTGCCGACCTGGCACTAGGTACCTTATGTTAGATAGTAGATGAAACCTGTAGCGAACCGAAAGACAGTGACATTTTGCTGTTCCACAAAATGACACACAATAACCGAGAGTCATTTAGACCCAAGGCATCGACAGCCTGCGAGAATGAAAGCCAATAGCAAATGAGTACCTAAGGTACCTTGTCCCGTGATGGATCAAGGTGGAAAGGCGTGACTGTTCTCGTGTGGTCCCCATCTGTGAGTATATAACACCAGCAATGCATCGGTTTCTCCCGGAGGCTCACTCTAAGAGTTGGGAAAGAAATTCTTTCTTTTTCTTCCTCTCCTTTTTTACCCTCTACCAGTTTTCCACACTCAGCTTTCTACACATTTACATGTGGGCCTGCAGACAATATAACCGCCCTTCCGACAGGTACCTACATCTACTGATCGTTCTTTCCATCCAGCCCTCCCGTACCCTTATTATCACCACAGATGCAGCCTGCAACAATGATTCCCTCTCCGCTTGTGAGACATAAGACCATCTCTGCACAAACCTTCAGCCACCAGCCACTAGCCCATCATCATGATCCAGGGGCGGCGCAAATCATAACAATACCATGCAAGAGAATCGGGCCAAGTTCGCTTCAAAGTCATCTCGAACAATGGTATGGTCCAGGGAATTACTCTGTTGAGGTAAGTTGCCCTTTATGTCCAGGCAAATATAATAACGTCCGCTACGTACCCGTCCCTCTCTCCTCATGATCAAGAGGTTGTCTTCCCCAGATGATGGTCACTAACCTCATCATTGTACAACCCTAGATTGAACAAAATCTTTACATTATCCACGCCAATTCATCTATTATGCCTTATAGCTTCTAGTCCGAAGGCCGGGATGAACGCGGTCTCAAATCGCCGGATACAAGCGTCCAGCCCCTTCTAGTTGTCGAGCGCAAGGAGGTTCTGGGGGTGTGACAGACAAAGGGAGAGGTGGAGAAGGACTCGGCATGGGTTAATATACAAGTGCTGTCTGATGATCGGCGATTTGCATAGCGCATCAGCTGTCTCAGGCCTGCCGGCTCTCTTCTGAAACTCGAGCACTTGCGTCAAACATTATGCTAAGACCACATGATTGTCTCTAGCTGTAGGAGGGTTGTTTCCCTCGGTTCATCTAACCTGGCCAATCATTTCGCTTATCATATTGATCAGAAAAGAAATTCTTGGGTCCCGAAGCATGGACTTAACAACTCTGTCGGGTAAAGCCGAAATAATGTATTCGCCCCCGGTAGGTAACCCGAATTCCACAAGTGTACAAAAACAGGGGTGGGGAGCGATGGCCCCAGTGTTTGGTCTTGGAATTTTTATATTACCACCTCCTTCCCTCCCGCCCTCTCTCCCAAACATCTCTACTCCTTCCTCGTTGAACACGTGTCACAGCCTGCCCATCATTTCAGCGAAACGGTTCCATGGAAGGCAACAAAGAGTATCGGAGGGTTGCAATGACCTTCAGACACCCATGTAGGAACATCAGTTCCAAAAGTCTTTATCAATCTCTCGAAAATATGTACGGTTCTGGAAACTTTGATGTCGACGTGAGTTACGAAATTTCACTTAGGCCGATCCAAGAGTTAACCCATTTATCTATCCAGGTTGAACAGAACGTCTTCGTCGTCACTGTTTACGAGAGCTAAAGGGGTTGATTGTGACCATTCCGGACTCTTCCCTCGGTTTCATCGTGCCGTTTCTGTATCGACATACGCTACCTATCAACACACACGACTCCACCTCTACACGGTACGCCTGAGACGCCTCAAGATGGCCCCATGGTGCCCGAATATCACCTCACAGACTTTTCATTCTCACATACTTGGAACGGTTCGTTGCCGTTCGCCTCCGATGTTGGCTTTGAGGAGAGGTCAAGGTCATGGAGAACTCTGGTTGTGCGGTGGCGGAATACTGCATGGTGCCAGCCAATGAGGAGGATTGGACGGCAGTCATCCACAGACTTTCTACGTTCATAATTGACAAAGCCGCACATTTGAGCGTGGAATTATACGTTTTTGGCCGGAGACGAGACTGAAGGGGCAAGATTACGACAGATGTCAGGAGAGAGGTCCAAGGAACATGAGAGAATGCTGACAATCTTGCTTCTCCGCCTTTTTTCTTTCTTTTTTCGCAACACACCATTGGGTGGCGTTAATAAGTGGAGGGGCTGTGTTAAGGGCCGGAGTAGCCGAAGAATCGACGATCGGGACAGGATGGCAAAAGATCTCACGGGGAGGTTCCCAAGCAGTTAGTTGTTTTTCGTCGTGTCTGCGGTGGGATGCACACATGTCATGCTACTACCTTAAATTAATTTCATGTTTTTGGCGTTCAGTCTTTCGGGTGATGACATGTCAAAAGCGAGCATGCCCAGCCTCCTGGTTGCATGATGCGTTGACCGGGTCTCCTGATCCAGTCCCTGCTTCCACATTCTTGTTCCCTCGTGGAATGGCTTTTTCTACGTTAATACAAAAGTACTTTACATTACTTGACAGCTCAGGACCTGTTCTAGGCAATTCCCTTTAAAAAGCAAACCCAAAGCCTGGAGGACTGGCTGCAGTAAAGGTACAGGTGATGCCACCGGGATTATAGCCACACAACGAAATGCAGTGACTGACGGACGCACCGGCGGCTATGCCCCTATCGTCGATTTTCGTTGGGGTTACACCATCGTCCTGCGAGGACCCTTCCGACGACACCGCTTGTCTTACGTATACAGAATGCAGTGAGACTCGCTTTGAAGGCCGTGATTCCGAGTTGTCAACAAGCACCGGCACAAGCTTCCTCAATCTAGATTAGTCAATGCCTTCGCTGTGAGCTTGGTTCCTGAATTTGCATTTGTGAACTAGACCGACAATTTCAGCTGGACAAGCATTGGATTTTTTCTGTCACAAGACCATCAGTTACCGGCCAATGGAAATTGCAAGTTGAGAACCCAATGGATAAGTGGGCGTGTGGGTGTTCAAGGCTCGAGCAGGAGTGCTGGGCTTGCGAAGCCCGATCGCCAACACTGGGTGAATCCACAACACAAAGACTAAAACGGGGAAATAGACCCGAAAGTTCATCAAGAAGTACTGGATGCCTGTTACTTGAATTATTATCAATGTCAGGCAGGTCGAGTAAACAAAAGCACCTAAAATCCTAGATAGACACCCATGCTTTTGATGTATATCCGCTACTGAACCGGGCAACGTAGAATGCAGGAGTGCGTCACTCGCCACAGATAACTTAAGGAGGTACTTGACAATGTTGTTGTGAAGGCAATTTTCCACGGGGCCATTGGAGAAAAGGCCATGGAAATGGTATGGTGTAGATGTTATGCAGATAGCAAAGTGTTGAGACTGCGCGGTATCCAGAATGCGCATTATTCATGTTATCAAAATAAAGAAATTGGAAAGTTAGGATCATTCGGTGTAAGCATAAATGAAATCCAGCACAATGCTAGTATCATTAGGCAAGCGAGTTTCCCGTGGTCGAAAAGGGCAGGGTGGCGGCATCCTGAAACTTAGAGGTTGGGCATTTGATCCCGACTCTGTTGTTATCGCGAGACAAGAGAAACGGGAGAATTCTTTGTTCCACGTACCTTGGTAGGAACGGCAATTTGAATTCAGTTGGAGCTCCACGTACCGGGTGTGCTGACCTGGAAAGAGCCAGGGTTGAGCAACTACCATGGGGCAACACCCCAAGGCAAGAAAGCCTGGCGAGGGTCCTTGAACCTGGAAAGCAGGTTGTGTTTATGGGAAACCGGTTCCCTGGGAAGAAGGCACTGCTCGACCACCAGCAACTTAACGACGAAAGCTGGTGGAGCCGCGGGCAATTTGCTGCTACTGTCAGCAGCTGAAGTATCATGCCAGCAAGCATCTACACCGCCAGTGTGACAGCAAACTCATGCGACAGTAGTCTGCCTTCCAAGCCTGGAAGCTCCTGCCATGTGAAATATCTGATGAGCCCGGCTAGGGAATGGACGCCTAGCTCCCTGAAGAACGGGGCGCTAAGCGCTTTGGGCAGTCAAATATCTGAAGCGTTGACCTGTATTGAAAATAGCTACAACTACACCAAAATATTAAGACTTTCGTGTAAACTTACTCTAAACCTTCACTGCCCTTACTGCCCTTACTGCCCTACTATTACCGTAATAGTGGACTTACAGTGGCTTCCTATAGGGCAGTTCAGTAGTGAGGCCGGCAGTAAGGAGTAAGCAGTGAGGGTAAAGGAGCTTTTGCCTTAACCCTGGAAATGGTACACTACATCCGTAGAAGGCTGATCTTTTAAAAATATATTTGCTAGTTGATGAGGTGCAATTTGATTGAATAAGACGTCGTGGTATATTAAAGTCCTATTTTTACCTGTGAAAAGTAGGCTAATGGATGTTGCGTAGTTGGCCTACGAGTTCCAAAGACTGCATAACTTCCTACTGTATTTCATTAGCGCCCCGTCCTACAGGGAGGTAGACATCCGTTTCCTAGCTGGGCCCAGATCTGATGGGCGGCTCGAGTGCCAACGATTGGACCTTGCGTGCTCAAGTTGCTCTTTCTAGTTTCAGCCGGACCGAGCCACACCCAAAAGTCCTTCCTGCCCAGGTACATTCCCCAGGTTAAGTACTGTTACTTGGTTTCGGGTTTGTGGTCAGCAGATTCCAGGTTGTGCCTTCCATGCCACCTACGGCATGTGTGTGATTTATTGTTCTGATCTCTGCCAGTGCCAGTCACTTGGGGCAGATGTCAAAGTCACGGGCTTTCCGGAACTTCTCGGAGTATAAACCCCCCCTCAGGATACGATTTCCCTCCTCACATCCAATCTCTTGGGGTATGAATTACTGATCAGTTATAGCATCGAGCAGGAATGTTTCATATTGTAGGTACTGTGCTTGTAAGTAAATCAATGGCGTGATTCTAATCTCAAACTGACGATGGACTAGCTCGTCTCTATAACTCCAGAGGTTTTTTCTCTATCCATTTTCGTTGCATGCATCCCGATGGCATCATCAACCGTTTGGTGGTGGTGATCGATTACACACCAAGACTGCCAAGCCACGCCCAGCCAGTGGCGTTACGTACACAAGATCCGAATATTGACAACCAACAAGGCTCAATGGTCTAGTGGTATGATTCGCGCTTCGGGTTTTCCCCACACTTCTAAGGAGTGCTTGTGCGAGGTCTCGGGTTCGATCCCCGATTGAGCCCTTGCTTTTTGCTTTCTTTTCTCACACAACGCCAAACCAGCTGCACATCCCTGCACATCTTCTCTAGGAGTTTACCTGCCATCAGATTTAACAACATATTGTCGACAACTTCTCCGAAACATAAAGTTTCTCCTGAGACCCCTGATACCTGGCTTGATACCGAAATTATCTTCCCTTTCTGCGCATTGAAGAAGGTGAACGATATCTCAGACCGGCTTACAGCATTAAACCAAGACCGCAACAGATCCGACTGAGTCCTCTGACTATATACATTCACATTTTTACTTCATAACGTGCCACATTCAAATCTGTTGGAGGCCACCCTCAGTCTAGGTTGATCAAACAGTATTCATTCTCGGCATTTTTGCTATAATTCGCCGATGAAGCCGTTAGCCACCACTCACTTTATCCATCTATTCTCACCAGTATTTTTAGAGAAAACAGAAAAAGGGCATGAAAACGAAGGCCTCAGAAAATAGTGCCACTCACCGAAAATCTCGTCGAACGTCGTCGCGGGCCTCTCATCCTCATAACTAGCGTAATCCCCAAACGGATCCTCCTTCTCATCCGGCAAAAAGCCCGACGGGCGAGACCGAGACGAAGACCGCCCGACCCGATTCTCTTTCTGGTATCCATAACTATTTGGTTTCCGTCCCGTCACACGCCGGGTGATTGATCGAGTAATTCCCGTGACTCTCCGCTTGAGCACCTGCCGCACCCCATTCTTGTTCTCATCTCTGTCGGCATTGGGGAAGCCCTGTCGGAAGCCTTCAGGGGAAATGTTGGATGCTGCGCGGTTGGGGATGGGAGTCATGGGGGAGGTGTTGCTTCGGGCGGCGTAGAGCTGGGTGCCTTTTTGGTAAATGTACACGCGGGCGTCGGCGTCGTATTCGATTCGTTTGAAGCCGTGGGGGATGTCGGAGTTGTCGCCGTCGATGGGCCAGTTGCGAGACATGTCGATGTGGTGTTGTTCTGTCAGGGAGGTGCGCTGGTAGCTTGTGTGTGACGGATGATGTCAGATGATGGAAGAACGAAAAGAGGGGCTTGTAGCAATGGATGAGAGAGCTTTCGATTTTATATTGGGCCACGGAGCACACTCTCGGACTGGCTCTCGGGTGGACCAATGGGATACCCTCTTGTGCTAGGGTTTGGAAGAAAGGGTGGTAGGTAGGCAACCTCGAATCTTAAAGAAGCTGGAATTTTCAGGAACGAACTGCAAAATCACTAGGCACCGAATTCAAAAAGCGATGAAGGTGGTCATCGGCCCCCCTTGGGCCAAATGAATGCATATGCACCTCCGGCATATTCGGTGTCGTGTGACTGGTGCACCGAATAGCAGACGGCTGAACAGCGGCAGTTTCAGTTGAATTTGACATCTGACGAGCCGGACAGGAAGAGAAGATAGGGCTGCTCATGCCCGAACAGCACATGAAGGCGTCAGAAGGTGGTGGCTTAGTGGCAGTAGCGGCAGCTTTGGTGCTGTTTCAGTCGGGTATCGCCGTTGACTTGCATTGCAGCGTGATCAAAGCATCATATGTGCGTCAAACAACCCGTATCAAAAGCCACCTAGGCACGATTGCGGTCCTTCTTATCTGGTCCGCAGCCTTGTTTATGAAATCGCCACCATCACAGGCACCTAAGAGACAGACATGCAAGAATGTTGCGATATGCAAATGCTATATTTGTGTTGGGCAAAACCAAAAGTATATACAAGAATTTGTGCCTGTACCAGACAATACTCCTTCACATGCCGCCACCCATGAGGCCTAATTCGTTCATTCCTTACACGCACTGGTGATACCACTGGTTGGTGGTGTTGCAAGTCGAACCAGCAGCGCAGGTGGTGCAGCCAGTGTAGCCCTGACCACCGCACTGGCCGTACTTCTGAACAGTGCACCCACCGGGGCTGCCACCGCCGCCGTTGCCGGGAGCAGGAGTGCTGGTGGAAACAGGGGGAGTAAGGCTGGTGGTGGGGGAGCTGCCGACAGCGCAGGTGGCCTCGCAGCCGCTGCACGCGCTTCCGGCAACCTTGGTGCTGCCGCCGGCATACACAGCGGGACCGGGGATGACATAGTTGGTCATGGCACCGTGGATGTTGACCTGGACGCCGGGGTCGGAGGCCTTGAAGTGTCCGGGGATGGACACAGTAGGGGGGCTGGCGCTGCCGCCACCGGAGACGGTGATCTGGTAGCAGGTCATGTATGGCTGAGCACCACCAGCACCACCGGCAGCGTGGAGGGCAATGGCCTCGGCACGGAGGAGGTAGTCACCCGAGGGGATGTCGGATGGGATCTTGACGTTCATCTTGCCGCAGCAAGCGTTGAGATCCTTGGTGCCCCAGAAATCATCATCACCAACGCGGCCGGAGGGGTTCTTGCGCCAGCCATCGTCAAAGATCTTGAACCAGCCGGTGGAACCATCGGCGGTAAGGGCGTCAGAGACCTTGGTGAGGTAGACGGAGACGGGGCCGTGGTGGGCGCCACCAATAGCCTCCTGCGAGCAGCTGCGATCACCGTTTTGCTTTTATACATGTCAGTAGGTTGCTCTCTTTCGGTTCAAACAACTGTGGCTTCACTTACAGCGTGCATCTCAACAGTGACGGTACCACCAGCGCGGACTGGGCACTTGACCTGGGGTCTGGTGCCGATGATGTTGCAGCGCATGTCATTGGAGTTATAGTTGGTGATGGGAGAGTTGGACTGAGGAAGACGGGCACATTGGCTGCCAAAGTCGGTTCCGTCAACCCAGAGCTGTTGGAAGGTGGAATGGGCGGCGGCTTGCTGGGCCAAGAGGGCCGCCAGGGCGGTAGCTGTGAAGGACTTCATGGCTGCTGATTGTGAAGGTGCTGGAGGCGGCTGCTTTGGAGTTGTCAAGGCAAGCTGAAGGCTGTCACAATCATCAGCCCTGGAAGATGGCGGCCATGGATGGATTTATACAAGTCCATACCCAAGGCCTCCACGGTGGTATTTACAATCCTGTTCTTTGGAACTTTCCATTGGAAAGGCGCACCGGCTCCGGCGGTCCTCCAATTTCCAGTCTGTTCGCTGCGGCTCCTCCTGCTTACCGCTCGCTCGGCGATTCCCAACGGCGTCCCGTGAACAGATCTTGGTGTTGTACCCCACACGAATACCACCCAACACCTGGTCCGGGGTGCGTGATAGCTTCCAAAACCGGGTTGGGTGGAGAGAGACGATTGGTGGACCGCGAGGCGGTTAATCACTTGGTTAATCAATGCGGCAAGACGGAATGGGACTGCCGTCCGCCACGATTCCAAAAACCGGGGCAACGGCGGATGACGTCCCGTCTCGAGGTTTTTTTTGACAAGTCATCCGTCGTAGACTTCAAGTGCATGAAGATGCCAAGCCAGGTCTAGACTGCGCTTACATGACCTGCTATATATTAGGTCTACCGCTACCATATCATAGGCTTGTACTGAACTCCCTCTTCCTGAGGTTAGTTCTCGGTGGGACTGATCTTTACTCGATAGTAAAACTTATAACAGGCAGTAGATGCTTGAGTCTATGGGCTAGCCACTACAAAAAGAAGTATTGGCAGGTGCCCAAGCGGTTGGGTATCCACATCGTCGATCTTGAAACATGGCAGGGAACCAGGTTATCTTGGGTGTCAAAGTAGCCTTCCCGTCGGGAATCGTTGCCGACAAAGCGCCTTCGATGCCGGACAAGATGCAGCCAAGGTTCGCTCAGGAGGTGTTGATTGTGGGGAGAAATAGACGGAAGGCACTGGCTACCTGCTACAAGCGATAGCGCTGCAGCAAACTCCTACTCGCTTCCTCGCAACGCATGGGCAGTGATGTCACTACGGCCGGTGATGGATGAGGGCTTCCGCTATGAAGGAGGGACGGGATGAAGCGAGAGTCTCTGTTGATGGAGTGCATAGCCATTGGAAACTCGCTTTCTTGTGCAAGATTACTGAATAATGTTGCCTCTGTTCCGCTCAATGCATAAAGCTGATAGGGTGAATGTTAGGGACGTGGTGCTCCTCTTCAACTGCGTGATCGTATGCTGTTGAGATGGCCTTTTGTAAATGCGGGATCGAGTGCTTGTGATGATTCAACTACAGTCAGAAAAGCCTGTCAGGGGGTCAGGGGGTCAGGGGGTCAGGGGGTCAGAGGCTGAGGGGTCCGGAGGGTTAGGGGTGGGCACGCTTTTCAGCTTTTCAAAGAGATTCCAGTACATACAACCACCAGGTATAAAACTGATGGAAAGGATAATCCCCATAAAAACAGGACCTACCTCTGCCGCACCTGATCGATATAAAGTTATCTGGGATGCCAAACCATCGGGTTCGTCCGTGCCGGTTAAATTGTTGACAGGTACTCTGGTGCGTGCCACTAGGATGGCATCATTTCATAAGGCTGACTGCTCATGGCCTGGACTTGTCTTTGCATAAATCCGAGTCGGTGATCAGCGCAAGGTGTGTGAAGGTGACTTGTTCAGGTGGTCGAGATTGGCCTGTTAGGATCTGCATTTGGTCGGAGCTGAATCCCTGATGCAGGTGATGCCGGCGTGATGAAGAATTGACCACTCAAAGCTTCGGATTCATTCACACTCAGCTTGTGTCTTGCAAGTATTACACCCTAACCGCGGTAGCCTTTTTGAATGAGGCTAGGGCGTTCAATATTATACCGTACTTATGTCATTGTACATTTGGGTTACTCGGAGTCCCCGATCGAAGAGAAAGAGAGCTGTGTAAGAAAATGAGTATAAAAGAGTTCAACATGTTAACGACTGTGGAATCATCTGTCACCGTTATACCTTATTCTACAAGCCCTAACACAGTATCAGTGGCTGCGTAGCAAAGCATTCATCATGGCGAACGGTATGCCGGCCTGCAACAGTATTTTGATGTTTGAATTGATCGCTAATCACTGCCATATAGTCAAATCAACCATGGTTCCTGATTTCGAGGTGAAATTCCTCCTTGATGCCACCCAGGCCCTCGACCCAGCATCATCCAAGCCCAACGACATCCTCCGTGCAGCCTTCAAACTCCCCGAGAAACCCATCAGAATGGATGTTCAGTTTCTGGACACACCCTCCAGGGAGATTTACAACGCGGGATGGTCTCCTCGCATTCGCAAGATTGAAGGCGAGTCAGGCTATGAACTGACTTACAAAAAGCGATACCCAATCATCGATCACCAAGCCGACGGGGCTATCGATACTGGCGATATTCTCACAGCTCTCACTGTAGCCAGAGACGACGGTTTCGATACAACTGAGACCAAGTACGATGCACAAGTGGAGTGGGGATTTCAGAAGCAGACCCTGAGTATCAGCCGCAAGAAGAAGGTCAAGAAGGAAACAGTGGGGAAGAAGGAGATGGGGCTACCTGGTGAAGAAGAGTCTAGAAAGTTGCTTGGAGACGAGATCCCCGGCAAGTTTGACGACTGGTCATTCGAGAAATGGGGAACAAGCCTCCTTTCTCAAGCCGTTATTTACGGTCCGATCTCGGCGGAGCGGTATGAAGGCAGATGGGAAGGAGTCGAAGTTGATGTCGAAATCTGGCCTATTCGCAGCAAGGAGACTGATACAGGCACCGAGAACATTGTCGAGATCTCCTTCAAGAGTGATAATGGGAATCATGCCGGAGGCACACAGAAGGTTCTTGGTGAATACTTGACGGAAAAGGGATGGCTTGTTCCGAGTGACTCGCTCAAGACACAGCTGATCATGGACAGGTATGGGCCTCAGGAACTTGATGGGGATGAGGGAGTCACTGGCAACTACACCGATATGGCATAAGTTTTTAATGTATCCTGCAACGTTTTTCAATTTGCAAATTGAAGAGATCCATGCAGTGAAGAATTCTTTCTCTGGATATGCACCGGTTTGAAGGCCAGTTTCAGTTCTTATGGCCCCCAAAAAATAGCACGCTGGCCCGATCAATGCCAACAAGTCCCAGTAATGCATTTCAGTATGATGGGACGACAACTGAAGGGTGTCAACTGTCACACCATATTATTAGTGAGCCGGAAGCTCTTTGTCTTGTGCTGGGGCGTGATTTCCTTTTTTTGCCGCAAGTTTCTGGAACATCGGAGACGTGGTTTAGGCCGGCTGACCGCATACCGGAGGTTATGACTTTTCTAATTTTTGACCAGGTAGGGTGATGAAAAAGAGATAGCTTTGTTATGGAGACAAGTTCAACTCGTGAAGGAAATGACCTAAGGTAGTCGCGTCATTTTAGAAACACGTCAGTAATTTTGCCTTCGCCCCTGAGACACATACTTGAAAAGGGGGCCCCTGAATGTGGTGTGCTTCTCCACACTGAGAACAGCAGCACAAGCACCCGCAGCGAGAAACACTCCCACATTTGGCTTGGAGTATGTTCTCGGTGGGTACCCAGCATGTTGGTCAGGATATACTAATGATCGGCGAAAAATGGGCGCTTCATCAGCGAAGTGTAGAATGAGCTTCCATCACAACCGCACCTAATGCAACCCTTATCATTAACCAAATTCAAGGATGTTTGGCGACGGGAGCAGCCTTAACCTAAGTTCAAAAATAACCACTTAGTAAATCTCCGTGATCGACGTCAATCACATCCTTCATCACGATCTTTCACATTTCCAGCCATCACACCGGGATCAAACAGGGTACAGTTACTAATCCACCATCCTAGCACTCAACGCCAATTGTCATCATGAGCCCGGGGCGCAAACCAGGCATCAATATTTTGAAGCTAACTAAAGAAGCCACCGCGATGCTCCCCACCCCATTACCGGCTACCGGATGCTTTAGCCTCATGTGCCTCTTTTCTGCATTCGGCTTTGCCGTTTCGGCATCACACCACGAACACCCCAGGTTCCAAAATCCAGATTGTTTCAGCCGCAGAACTAAACAGTTTAAAGTGCATACCTACCTAGGTATGATATATGCTACGAGAAAAAAGGTTCACACACCATTGCGACGCCACCACGCGATCGATCCTGGAAGATTGATTCCACCTCTGTCAGCCCGAATGTGATTTCTCCAGCTTCTCAAGCCACCGCCACCCCTCGAGTCCAGTCTGACATCTCGCGTCATCATCGTCATCCAGGAGATCGCCATGCGTTCTCTAACCAGAGACACCTGGGGCGGTTATCTTCTATCAGCTTCCTGAGGCACCTCACTAGATCTCCCAGCATGTGCATATGGAAATTACCCGCCGACTTCCATGACACGACCCCCCTCGTCTGATACTTTTTGCTCAGTCAATCTTTAATAAGTGAAGGGATATGACACTAGGAAACCTCAATAACTTGATCAGATAGATACCCAAGTGAGCAAGGCACGTGTCTCGGCCTAACCCCCCGATCAAGATGATGGTCATGATGCCAGCCATCTCCGAACGTCAACCTTCGCAGATGCTCCGAACCGTTGCAGGTATGAGGTGGATAAAAATAATGTTAAGCTTCCTCTTCCCCAGTCATTCTGAAATCCCGACCATGCCATCTCATTGCCCCATCATCAGGTAGGAGTAGGAGTGACTGAAAAGAAACACACTCCTCTCCAAGCGTGATAATACCTTCCGAAAATCACGATTGTATCAAAACAAGAAGTCTCAAACACATCTTGCTATCCCAGTCAGCCCTTCATCTGCAACCCCCCCCCCCTTAGTGACAAGTAAACAAAACAAGCCTTCACAGCACCTTACTTTAGACCGGCCCCTGGCCTGGGGAAAACAAACCCCAACCGAGCGGCGGGTACGGTGTAAAAGCCAGACGGCACAGCCATCCACAAAAAAACCACCCAGCAAATCAACAGTAGCCATCCCTTCAAGGTACGAGAGAGACAAAGCCTCGAGTACTCCACGCCACACATGCCCACCGCAGTCATGCATACCACACTTCCCCACCGGTCGGTGGCGTGCCTCTCGCGTCTCACGGTACGTATTGTAGCTTTGCCTCAAACTCCCCATGGGAAGGGGGTGTGTACCTAGACAGGTCGACTTCTACCACCCCCCCTCTCTGCGCTCCCTGTCTCGGCAGAACCAGCCGATGATCGAGGACCCCCCTTTTCCTGCCAAGGCGGGCGCTGACAGCGCGGGCCGATAACTGCATGCCCACCTACCTTACTTGCCTTCATACACTGTACGGTCCGGGGATCCATCTCTTGAACGCGTAAACGATCAGTAATCACCCATGTTCGGCACTTCTCACCTCAGAAGCCACCAAGAGAAGGCAGGAGAGAGCATACTGGTGGAAAACTCCAGATCCCATTCAGAAGCAAAACTCAAGACAATATATTCCCACTTGTGTATCACGCTATGCTCTACCCAAAAACCACAACTCCAATAATGCCCAAAACTCCACAACCATGTGATCCCATGTGTGTACCCAACAAAACAAAGCCAGCTCCAACTTCAACACCCACCCCCCTCCAAACCTTGCAACAGCCCCCCCAGCTTCTCCCGCAACATAGTAACCATATTCCCCCCCTCCTGCTCGACACTATTAGCTACAAACCCCTCCCCCATCATCTCCCCTTCGTACCTCACCCCCGTTGCCGTCCCACCCAGCATCACCCCAAGCAACCCTCTCGCCTCATGTCCAGAAAGCGACCCTTGCTCCACAGCGGTGGCCGTCTGCATCGACAAAGAAACACAATACTGTCTCGGCAACCCCAAAGCCCTCTCCACCCCCTCCAACTGCCTATCCACCATTCGAGCTAGCAAGCCAGCTCTTTGCCAGTGATTCACCTCGTACTGTTGTTGCTCATACCCAAAATCATGATATCCCCTAGAAAGATCAATAGGCATAGCATGCGCCAAGGCATGCTGCATATTGTTCCCGCCTGACCTCCTTGTCATGGCAAACGCCGCTTCGAGCAGCACATGTCCAAAGATGGCGTCGTAGATGGTGATGAGTTGGAGATAGCAGGACACCATGGTCAGGAGGTTCGCGCCGTTGAGCTGGTGGTTTTTTCTCTGTGGTGCTCCTCCCAATGCTGGGTCAACAATGGTGGATGATGATGGGGAGCTTGCTGCCGTTGATGGGCCCGCAGAGTACCCCTGGCTGGGAATCTGAGAAGAACTCGAGGCGGGTGATGGCCATCGTGATGCGCCCTGAACACTGTCATCGGTGATGCTGGGTGATCTTTTGTGGCTGTTTTCGTCTGTAGGTCGATGGAATAGTTGCGAGATTTCGATCAGCTCAGAGGTGCTGCTCAGGACTGAGGATAAAGGGTCGAAACCGTCGCTGGGCTTGGTTGAGCCCAGTAGAAGAGTATCGAGGATGCTAAAGTCTCGAGGCAGGGACTTTGTGTGGAGGAGCTGCTTTGAGAGGCTTTGTTGTAGGCTTGCAAGCAAGACCCCTGGGTCTCCCTGGCGGGAGGATTTGTGTGTCGGAATGGGCTTCATGGTAAAGCCATCCTCTGGATTAAAGGGTTGATACTCGGGAGGTGATGGGAGAGACATGGTGGACGTCTGATGTTGTGTCGAGGGGTGGATGTGGTGGTTGCCGCATAAAGTGTGAGTGTCCATCAACAGTGTGTTGCTGTGAACAGAAAAGTCAAAGACGTCGATGGCGTGACTCGCATCTGCCCAAGGGATGATCATGGAGCTATCCTCCATCACCAGCGGATGCTCAGACCCCTGCTGAGTGTAGGGCCATGGAGCATATAGAGGGTTACCGCAAGCCATCTGGTCTCCCGAGGTCATGGCATGTCCACTGCCAGGTAAGGACACGAAAGGTGGTTGACGTTGAGCAACATCGCAGAGGGATGCATTGTTTGCTGCTTGGGCTCTTCTGTGTGCAAGCCTGCCCGGTGGCTTGGCCGGACTGGTAAAGCAAGGAAATCGAATACGAAGGCATCTTGTGCACGGGGTGCTTGTGTCGTCCTCTTTCTTGCGTGTGCAACGGAGCTTCTGGCTTCTGCATCGATCACAAGCCGATCGTCGCCAGGGTGAATGGCTCCGAGCTTCGGGAAGAGCGGCTGCAGACTCGGACACCGGGGTGATGCGTGATGCCATCGTGAGTGATGTGATTGCTCGGTGGTGGTTCGGAGGCAAACACAGTGGTTGATATTGAGCAGAAAAGGTACCGATTCCGAGTGTGGGAGAGGTGTGGAAGTGATCCCTATATCAAGTCTTTGGCTCGGCTGGAGTCATATCCTTCACCTGCAGGGTATCTAGATGCGGTCTGGTGGACCAGATCATCTTGTTACAGACCCCGGATAGGGCTCTTACTTGCTGACTGGAAAGATGCATGGCGAGGTAAATGATGCCACATGTGTAGGGCTCCGGGGCAAGGCCTCGCAACGGCGCTGTATGTCTGGCTTAGGCGTGATGGAGGGGTGGGTTCAAGAGTGGGTGGGTGAGATGTATCCCTGAAGGTTGCGCTTGGCATGTGGACTTGGGCGTGGATGTAGATAGCTCGAGTCGTTCTGACAGGGCTCATGGCTTGGACCGAATATAGCAATGGATGTCAGCTTAATCTTATCGGTCGTATTGTACTCTAGACTGTAGCTCTAGACTGGATCATTCTGACCATCAACTGACTCTATCGACATGAGAGATTATGATCTTCGAAGACACAGCTTGAAGATGGGTGACGTTTGGCCTGCAGAAAGCTCAAAAGCTCATTCAATTTACACTATCACGAAGCGTGCAAGCCATGTGGTCCAGCTGTAGGGGTCCTACCAATCCAGCTGTCACAGCGATAAGAAGCTCGTCGTGGATGTCAACCGCGGCACTGGCAATCTCGTGCCGCTCCCTCGCAGCGGCTGGCCTCCCCCACGAGCCGCGAGAGACTCGGAACAAAAGACAAGACCATTCTGGCAAAGCAGACGACTGTTTATTTACTGAAATAAATCCCGGAGAGTTCCTGGAACACAAAGCTCGGGTTGAATCGGAGATGCTGCTGGTCCACGGTGTGGTCGACCGGACGGGAGTTCGTGTTGAAGTCGAGATGGAAAGATTTGTTTTTGGAAGCTCTCTTGGTCAATTGCGGATGCCTGATGCAGCCAGCCATGACCCTGAGGTGGCCAATGACCTGACTCCGCTCGCACCTGGCAGGTGAAGCCGTCAGGTCCGGCCAATCACGTCATTGGCGGAACGAACTCTTGGTGCCCGCTGGCTGCCATGGAAAGAGTTATACTCGGAGGAAAAGAACAATCCGCCACTCTACAGTGCATTGTGTTTCTGAAAGGATGCCAGAAGACGGTGTAAGATATCCATGTCTTGGCTCGTTCGTCTTTGAGCACCTTGCAGGATGCAGAGCACTAAGACACAAGCTTAAATCTTCCTCTGGTACTATGAGAGGTTATTATAGTGCTGCCTAGACGGCTGTTTCTATCTGCACAATCATCATCACCTCTTCTCTTGCAAGTAGGCTCTCGAAATCTCTGTCAAATATGTCCCCCCGAGTTCCGATCCCTAAAACCCTCATAAAAGTCCTTGAATACCCTCATGAACAGCTCTCCAACACTCCATCCCCTCCAGCTCTCCCAACCCCCCACAGCCCATCTTGAACTCATCACCCTCAACCCACTCCCATCCCATCATCAACAAGCTCATTAGCGTCTGACACCATGCAAACCGCATGCACACAAGCAGCCCTCGCAGCACCCACCATTCGTGATTGGCCAAGGCCCATTGCAACGTCGCACAAAAAGAGAGGGGGGTTCCTGACCGGTTGAGAAATCGAAGCTCGCCCTCCTATTGGCTGGAAATTCCATGTCCAAGTCCTTCGCATATCAGCAATCCAACTTCATTCCAACTTTTCCGATTCCTTGATCGTGATGTGATCTTTTGGCGCAAGAAAACTCGGGATCCGCGGGTGGGAAAAGCCCTCATGAGGAGGAGGCGGGAACTTTGCTGCTGGTGGAAGTCTCGGTTGGAAGAGTTCCTTGGTGAATCTGGAAGGGGGTTTTTCCCACCGAGACACCGAGGACGGACTACTCTTGACCATCACATCCGTGACCAATTTCTGACAAACATGAGGGTTGACAACCAAGCCAAAGGTGAGCAAAAGGTGTATCAAGGTAATAATCCATAGTATAACAAGTCAAAACGCTACAACAGCTAATTCAATGCCATAACACAAAACATAATTCCCCCCTTTGAACAGGTATCACTCCAAAACAGCGCTCAACCCCAAATCCCTACTGCTCTTCCCCACAAACACCGTCTTGGTGTGCTCACTAATGACCCAATCCTGGCTCACCACATCCCAGTTGCTCAAATCCCTCCTCGTCAACAGCCCCCTAAACTTGGCCGTCTGACCCGGCTCGATCCTGAGCTTGCCAAAGTCGCGCAGCACCACCTTGGGATCATCAGGCCCGCCAAGAGAGACATACAGCTGGACCACCTCGTCTCCCACAATCTCCCCCGTGTTGGTGATATCCGCCGTGACTTCGTACAGGATATCGTACAGCGCCCGGTTGCCACCGGGAGAGTTCTTGCCCGAAGACGGCAACAACGGCTGAGGCGAGTCGTCAATCGCGTGCGGGGGCATAAACTCCTCGGCCGTCTGGCCAAAGTGCGGGTCGCCAGAAGCATTCCTCGGGTCGGTAGTGTTGAGATAGGGGTAGATATACTGATAGACATAGGGGAACTCCTCGTCGGGGAACAGGTAATCGCTAAGATCCGTCGAAAAGTTCCCAAAAGTCGGCGCGGGAGCTGTCTGGCCTGTCGTTGGCTTGTAGGGACCAGCGTTCTTCTTTGTAACCTGGATGTTGCTGTACTCAAAGGTAGTATAACTCAAGCCGTGGCCAAACTCATAAATGACAGACGTGTTGGCCTTGTCGAAGTAGCGGTAGTCAATAAACACACCCTCGGAAAAGTCCTGCTGGGGTGCGCCCTCGCCATTGTTGGGAGTGTAAAGAACATCAGCGCCGTAACCCTCGCGGGTGGCGCCCCAGGTGAATGGCGACTTGCCAGAGGGGTTCACCTTGCCGTAGAGAACATCGGTGATGGAGTTGCCGGATTCTTGCCCAGGAAGACCGGCCCAGAGGATGGCAGTGATGTTCGGGCTATCATACCACTCGCTGATGAGAACGGGACCGGTGGAGTGGATGACCACAATGGTGTTGCTGCACCAGCTGGAAACGTTCTTGACCAGGTCATCGCCGCCTCTCCAGAGTGTCAGGTTGTTGCGATCGCCCATGTTGCCTTCAAAGTTGATGTATCCCTCACCAGAGTCAGCATTGACGAAAACAATGGCGGTGACGTTATCCTGCGATACCAAGGCCCTGGTCTGGGATGCCGCATAGTTGGTCAGGATGCTCTCGTAGCGAGACCCATCCTTGATGGCCTGGGCCTGCAGGGCAGCGTCTGGCGTGATGAGGTAAGGAAAGTTGGCAGTGCCAGAACCCCAGCCCATCGCGAGTGTGCCGTTGTTGCACCCGCGATCGGCACAAGAATTGGGTCCGTTGGGGTTAGGTCCAGCATCCTCTCCAATCACCGCCACAAACTTGGGTTTGTTCAGGGGCAGGGAGCCGGTGTTCTTGAGAAGAACGGTACCCTTGGCAGCGATTTCACGGATGAGGTTTGCATGGTCAGCCCGGACATCGACGTGATAGTTGATCTGCTGGTGACCCTCGCCCGCGGCCCAGTGAATAGGCCCATAAGTGTCGAGGGACCAGAAACTGAAGTTGATAGGGTCCAGTTCAATGCTCTTCTCCACCTTGAAGAAAGCTGCCATGATACGCATGGCCATGTCGTCGATCCGATAAGCTGGAACAGTACCGTTGAGCACGGCCACAGTGAGGTTAGTACCCCAGAAGCTGACGCCAGTGTTGAACTCGGTATCTCCCGGCATCGACATGTCGAGACCAGCCGCGGCGGCAGCTGCACCGGTATGCTGGGCCTGCCAATCACTCAAGACGAACCCCTGGAAGCCCAACTCATCCTTCAAAAGACCGTTCATAAGCTTGGAATTTTGGCATCCATAGGAGTTGTTGACCTGCTGGTAGCTGCACATAAAAGAGCCCGCACCGGCGCGGACGGCATCGGCAAAGGGCCAGAGGTAAAGCTCGTGCATCGTCTTGTCGTCAATGTTGGAGGAAAGAGTCTCGCTGATGTTGAACCCATAACCGCGAGCCTCGCCGACTTGGCGGAAGTGTTCTGTGGCCATATTAGCGCGGTTGAACTACAGCCATCTTGCCGGTCTGTTTGCAAGTACCTTGTTCATTGCCAATAAAGTGCTTTGCGCATGCAATCACGCCCGCATCCTGATGTCCCTTGACAGTCTCGGCCATGCCGACTCCTGTCAAGACCGGATCCGGAGAGAAACCCTCCCAGTTTCGCCCAGCAGCGGGCATCCGACCAAGAGGGCCGGCGACAGGTCCAAGGATCACGTTGATCCCCTTGCCCTTGGCTTCCTTGCCAATGGCATAACCACGGCGGTACATCAACTGGCGGTCCCATGTAGCAGCAGCTGTCTGACCTGAAGGGAAGGCGGAATTGTAGTCGGTTCCACGGATTCCAAGGGGGGCGTCGTGCATGCAAAGACTGCGGAGCCCCAGGCGAGGGATAGCTCCTACTTGACCGACACATTGCTCCGAGGCCCAACTATACCAGCGTCAGTCATGGCGTTAGGGCGATCTGAGCAGGTGAAACTCACCCGGTACCAGTCGTCAAGTTGACCTTCTCCAACAGCGTCATCTGGGAGACAAACTCCCGAGCTTTCACATACGCCTCTGCCCATCCATCGGCTTCCGGGTTCATCCATGGCGAAGGGTAGACAGGAGGTGAGTACGCGAGGTCTCTCTTGATGAGCTGTGCGTGGTTGTCAGCAGGTGCGGCTCTGGCAGCAAGAAAGGGTAGCCAGAAGGCTGCATGTATAAGCTGCATGTTGGTTGCGGATCATGCAGGATCAGATCGGTATCAATCTGGATAAAGAGGTTTTGTGCAGCGGCTGAGGTAAGCGTGAGGGCAGCCAAACTGTTGAGCAACAGAAGAAAGCAAAGACAGGTTCACAGCTTCGAGAGCTCTGACCACCGAATCTTGTAGACGACAACTGAGGCTCGATGGAGAGCTCGTGGCCAGTGGAGGCGTAGGACTGACTCAACAGAAGGAACATGCGTACCTTTGGAGGATATTGGGGAGTGGCAAGAGCGCCGCTTGCCAGGGCGGCGGCAACCACCACGCTGAACTTCATCGTGGCAACTGCTCGTGTTGATGTGTACAGCGAGATGCAGGCTGCCGGAGGTTGGCAAGGGAGATGCAGAAGATCACCACGGACGACGGCACTGAAGTGAAACAAAACCAACAGGAGCTATGCGGGCAGCAATATATATTAACAGGGCTGCGTCCCTTCCCCCCCTCCCCTCCATTGTTTAATCCCGAGATGCTCATGGCTGGCTGGCCGGTCAATCTCGTTGTGTACGTCAGTGGACCGTTTCCGGGAAGCCAGCCGTCATCCCATCTCGGCATGCTCGCCTGGTGAGTTGATGGCACAACCCAAGAGACCGAGATGTGGGAACCGTGGGAGTGGCCGGACAGCCAGACTCAAGTCAGGAAGCGTCAGGAAGTGCCTCTCGATCCATTCATGGAGAGCAGCGCCTTGCAGGGTAGCAGCGCATCCGTTCGGGCAGGTGGGAGGATGGAGGGCGGGTGAGAAGCCGGGTCATGGCCGTTGCGAAAAGGGCCGATCACGTCCAAGCTGCACTCGAACACGGATGACAATCTGACGGACGAGATCGTCCTTTCCCCTGACCAGAATGCGGGGGGGGCTCGGGAGGCTGACATTGAATCCCCTTGCTGTGCTTGGAGGTCGAGATGAAAGTCAATAAGATGACGATGTTCGGGAATAATTTAGTGGAGACGGCGGAGATCGGCACTTTGGTCGCCACAGAAGCTTGAAGCTCTCGGCAAGTGCTTGATCCCTGTCATACCGTACATAAATGCGGAATCCGTACACTGGGCAATCGAACCAGGCGCTGATGAAAAGTCAAGGTGAGCACTGATGAGCCAGTCTTCACCTGCCAGATTGAGTACCCCCTTCCTTCGGTGGCCGTGAAAACATTTCCCCAACCGAAGAGAAAAACCTGGGGCTGGCTTCCGTCGCCGGATAGCAACGATCCCCCCCCTCTGGTGCGCTTAAGTGACCGTTACACTGTAACCCGAGCCGAACCCCACAGTTGAACGGTCGTAAACAGTGGATTCCGCCCCGCACCACCGAACAAGCCTCCATCCTTCCCCGCAACCACCAACTTCACCATGTGCCGGGTCGCCTTCCCCGTACCATCTTCTCTCTCTGCTGCGAGGAATTCGGTTACACGGTACGAACCTGCATCGGTCCTTTTCCGACGCCACGGCTGCCGGTGAAGCAAGCGAGGCGGCGACGAACCATCACTTCCGCTGGTGATGAGATGATGAGGACGTGAAAGTTCACTTCATCATTTGCAACAAAAAAAGTACAAAAGCCGAAGAAAACCGGATGGGTGGTGTTACATTCCTGACTCCAACGCTGTATCCATGCTCTTGGTCACCGGTGTGTCGTATAAACATGCTTGAACAAACATACGAAGACACCACTCCAGCAGCAGGTCATGCAACGTTGTACAGTGTTGTCTCTGTTGTAGTCATGGATTCAACAGCAGCGTCCCGGGTCACTGGACATGTGACTCGAGGTCTCACAGTACCTACTGCTTGACGTTATGGAATGGGCTCGGCGCATGGATGTCAGGGGCCAATCTGTGTGTAGCTCCTTGGGGAACTGGGAGCGTCTCGGGTAGCCCTATATCCCGTAGCGCAACGGCTTCAGGGTTACGGAGCTTCAGGTTCTTCTCCCGGAAAGAACCAAGAAACACAAAGAGCTCCCACCCTTCCATGTCGAGTGTCAATCTACTACTTGCCCACCCATCCATCCTTACCGACACCCAAGTCCATGTTCAAAGGACGTTTGGTTGGTGATTAGCGAAAGCAACGCCGAGCTTTTATTTATACTGGTTGGTCCGAAAATGTAGAATCTGCCAAATTCGCAAAGAGCCCTGAAAACTGAAAACGCCACGGTGTAATGACACCCGCCCAACCCTCTGTTTACCGACCTTACACGTCTCCACCGGCTACCCGACAACCCGGAGAGGGCAGCGAAACGGTCCGAGTCTCTTGGCCGTCAACCAGACCCCGAAGCACGGCAGTTGTGTTCGCCAACTCTGTAGGCCACTCTAGTTATCTCCGGCCAGCCTCAAGGTCCAACAAAAAAAATCCAATCAGCTGAGCAAAACGAGAATGACACTATCACCCCGCAAGAACCTGCAAAATCCATGTCAGCCAAGAGTACAACTAACTCCTCAAGAACCACAGGTGCCACTTACATCTTGCTGATAAACCGATCCTTGTTCACCGGCCGGCCCTTCTTTCCGTTGTGTACTGGAGTCTCGGTCCACATCTCTTTCTGTACAGATAAAACCAAAGTCAGCCTCACCTCGGGGTGGCCTCTTGAAGGCTTCGGGACTGGTGTCCGTCTATCCGGCAGGTAGCCACTTACGACGTTCTCAAGAATCCTAAGAGAATGTTAGCACTAGAAAACAACAGCTTCAACAGTCATAGAAAAAGACTTACATGTTGCAATGCCTGTCAAAAGCCTTCACTCTGGCAAGACTAAAACGCGCAGACAAAATCCCAGGTCAGCATTGCCCCCATATCCCATCTCATTCATTGATATGACAAACTTACAGCTTGCGATTTGACCGAATGCTAATCAAAACCTGAGAGTGACTGCGGACGGCCGTCTGGAGGAGGGAAAGCGGCCCATTGCTCATCTCATAGGCTTCCTGCAATCATCGAAAGGTCGAAAAGTCAATCACTGATTCGCTCGGCTTCTGCCTTGTTTGAAAATGCAGGTTTGACAATGCGTACCAGTTGAGCAATCTCATACTCACTATTGAAGAGGTCAGCGTCATTTCGACTGCAAAGGGTGAGTTTGAGAGGATCAGACTTACGTGCACTCGTTACGAGGCTTGTTGAGAAGTGCCCTACATCACAGAAAACCGCCTAATTAGCTTCTGCCCCTATGATTTGAATAAGATGGGCGGTTTGGCAGGGCAGTATCTCACTGGATGTTAACGTCAGACATGGTAGCGGCTTGTTTGATGAATTCGTGATTTCCGAGGCTCTAGAATAACAGAAGTCTGATGGAATGTGTGGTTGGTTGGTAAAAACTCGATCAGCGATTCGGTCGTCGTCGGGTTCGATGTGTGTTTTTCGTCTACAGTGTTGAGGACGGAAACACGCGTTGATGGATTGGCCAAGCCAACGCTGGTGGTTGATTTTCGAGACCCACTGTTGAAACTTTGTCACGTGTTGGTTGGCTGGGCTGAAAGCACGGGCCATCAAGTCAATTTGTTGCTTGTCACGGTTTGCTCACCGCCCTGGAAAAGGGGGAAGTTCTGGCACGAATTGTCACTCGTCAGAGCAGCGAGGGAGTCTTGTTGCATGGTATTAGATTATGCATTGTATGTAGATTTGCTATGTATTCAACTCCAACACCTTTCCTGCATGTATATCTGGCCCCAAAATTATTCCAGTCCGCCCAAGATCCCAACCGTTTTATTCATTGCCCCCTCTCCCATGTCCACTGCATCTCCATTCCCACCGGAACCCATTCACCAATCATTACCGATCTCAGTAAATGTAAGGAATGATCCTCCATCTGACAGTCTTCTTGTACTTCTCCCAGTCCTCGCCATACTTCTTGGCGCACTTCTCGTCGTCTCTGCGGTCACGGTGGATCAACAGAATGGCAAAGTACAAGACGTAAAAGTAGGTGAAGATGATGCCCCACCCCTTGGCCTCACCGGGGATAACCTGGCGGCCGTCAAGCATCCTGGTCGCGCCATCCACAGCAGCACTTCCTGCAGACAGGATGGTGTAGCCGGCAAGCCCGGTGGGCAAACTGTAGGGCCAAGCCTGAAGCCAGTCACCAAAGTAGTTGATGTGTCTGGCAATGCCCCACCAGCCAGAGATGAGCAGACGAGTGCCCGCCTTGGTGGGCATATACTTGAGATGAGCCAGCTTGGGGTCATTGGGGTTGGTGCGGAAGTCATTCTTCTGGCTGTTGGACAGGCGGAAGATGGCAAAGCCGAGCACCAACAAAGCACCGACACCGGCAAGTCCCAAAGGACCCAGCGTCTGTGGGTGGGTGGCAAGGTAACGTGTCTGCTGGGTGTAGATGAATGGAACCCAGACAAGGTCACCAAACGAAAGCATGAACCCAAACCCATCGGTGGTGATATCCATAGTCGTCATGATGGCGGGCTCCATGTACTGGCCGTCCAAGACGTAAAGTGTCTGCACGACAGCCACGAAGACGATGCTGTCGGTGACATAGCCATAGTTGCGGTACTGCTTCGCAATGAAAGCCCCGTTCAGCAAGATGTAGGTCAGCATGCCGGGGCGCAACTCCATCCACTCCTTGATGTCGATCTCGCCAATGAAGGGGAGGGTGACGCGTGGGTTGAGCTCGCGCCCAATGTACCAGTCGTATATCATGTTGCCAGTAACGCCACCGGCAGCAAGCTCGCGATTCTCGGGGTTGCCAGGCTTGACGCTGAAGCTGCGAACGTAGACAAAAGTGGCGAGCGCATAGGCAATGAGTGTGTTGGCAGTCAGAATCTGCACATAGTTGTCGGTGATGTAGGTCCAAAGGGGGAACTCGGCGCCCTGGGCGATGGTACCGGCGGCGGCAGCAACGATGCAGAACATGGTGGTGGAGAAGGCATTGAATCTGTACTTCAACCGGCCACCACTTCGCAAAACTGTGCCCTCGGTCTCGGTCGCGGGAAGGATTCTGTACAGGATGGCGTTGAAGAGGTAGAAAGCCAAGGTCCACCCTGTGGCCTCCCAACTGAAGAGACCAGGCCACCCATCTTGTGGCCAACCAACTTCGCGCTTCAACACATTGAGATCGAGGTTTTTGGGATGGAGGAGGGAAGGCGCTGGGCAGCCGGACAGATCGTTACACGCAAAGGTGATGGCGTAGACGAGGGGTGGGAGGACGAAGCTGATCAGGGCAGCGCCGGGTCTGGAGAAGACGTGATTAGCGAAATGCGGGGCAGCAAGAGGGATTGTTCGCACTTACGGTCCAAAGAACTCGTACTCGGGCTTCTTGCGCGACGCCTCGATGGGTTGCTGTGCTTTGGAACCCATTGTTGCTGCGTTGGCTGTGTTGGCTAATTAGTCGACTGTCAATGGTCGCGGGAGCTTGTCGCATATAAGTAGCGCCCTGTCGAGCCCGTGGAAACCGCGGATACCGGGGTATGACATCAGCTGGAGGCCCAGATGCTGACGGTTGCCCGTTGAAGACGTTGACGATGGATGGTCTCTACCGCGTCGGCGTTGGAGTTCCCGGATGGCCTGAGAGAGGTTCACAGTCGGCTCTGCGCTTTCCGGATGGCCTGAGTTTCTCTGAGCCAATGACGCAGCACCATGAGAATCCATTTTCCAGATGAGCTGTGTGGAGGGTCAGGGGCCAACAGCCTTGGCAATTCTACACTACCCTGTGCTTGGCATCAAAGTTCCAGGTGGACTTGGACCCGAGATCTGCTGCCATGGATGTTGAGACTGACAGCTTGAGCTCTATTGTTGACTCTCTCTCTCTTTGGGTCACTTCATGAGGAGCTTCATCATTCCACTGGCAATTGTGTTTCCCCAACTTAAACCTTAAGCTTTGTTCTAACATGTGCACTTCACTCTACTGCCCGCTGCCAGCTGCAAGGGCCAGCCCCTTGTGCTCGGGACAGCCAATCACAGCTCCCATTCAACGCCTCCCTTTTTTCCTTGGACCAGGACCCAGTTGGCATCGGCTTCTAAAACGGTTACCTGTGAAGGCCGCGTTTGGGAGCAACCCTCCATCATCCAACGGCCACGACATCGAGAACGACGTCGCCCGTGTCGCCAACTGTCTCCTGTGCTTCCTCGTGTACCGACGCTTCATCAGTGAACAACAACACTCGATATCGCCCAACCCCTGCCACTCGGCGCGAACGCGCGCATCTGCATCCCGAAGCCAAGCAAGCCCCAACATCCTTGACCGGACGCCTCCGTTCCATTCGAAATTCGACGTCATCAAATATTCTCAGCCATGCATCGGCAAACACCATCCAGAGCGCTCCTTCTCTGCACCCTTGCTGTCCTGAGTGGCAAGGCAGTCGCCGAGGAGGCTACAAAGACAGCCACCGCATCCACGCCTGTAGTCACACCCTGTGTCGCAACAGCAACCACCGGCGCCGGCGCTTTCTTCGACCTACGACCCGACACCGCAGTAGTTGTGCCCGAGGGGGAGAAGCCACCAAAGGGCTCGCCTGTTGACGATTATGTGGCTAGAGGCTGGGATTATGGCTCAAACTTTACTTTGAACTTCTGCAGTCCCGTGGTGAAGGAGGTGGAGGATGTCGTCGGACTCGACAAGGATCTATGGAACAACGTGAGCGCATACTATGAAACCAAGGGCAAAATATATGCTTTAGGGTAAGAACGCCTTTACACTGGGAACAGCTTGGGGCGGCAGCATCGCTGACGATCCATGACAGATTATCAGATGGAAACCTAGTACCCCGAGGGCGCAAACTTGTCCTTCAATATACAGGGGGATCCCCGTGTGGTCTATCAGATGAAAAGAACAGGGAAAAGAGATGGGAGGTCCATGACGGAGCGACATACAAGTACCATGAATACGACGACGACGACGACAACGACAACGACAACGACAACGACGGTGAAGACGCCGAGTCAAGGCGTGCATCGAAAGACAAGGATGATGATGACGAAGATGATGACAAGAAGGACAAGGGCAAGGAGAAGCCAAAAACACAACGTCGCAAGTCGGCCACATTTTCTTTCCTTTGTGACAGGGACCCAGATACACCTACGGCTGCTTCATTTGTTGGCACAGATCCGGATGAGTGCGCCTACTTCTTCGAAGTCCGTTCAATGCACGCATGCTCTATCGCCGAGCCCCACAAACCTGGTAGCGTTGGGCCTGGCAGTGTCTTTGCCATTATCTTCTTCATCGCGGTCTTGGTCTACGTGGTTGGAGGTGTCTTTTACCAGCGCACAGTGGCCCACGCCAGGGGTTGGCGGCAGCTGCCCAACTACAGCCTGTGGGCTGGCATCTGGAGCTTTATCGTGGTATGTCTTGGTGTCATACTTAGGTTTCCTTGGACTATAGCCGCTAACCTACGGTGTAGGACATGTTTACCATATTGACCTCATCCTGCGGCCGCCTGATCCCTCGTAGGAGAGGGTACCATACACTGTCCGGATCCCCAAGTGGGAGACGCCACAGCCGAGACGCCGAGAATCGACTAATTGATCAGCTCGATGAGGAATGGGATGATTGACACTGTCTCTCGTACGGTTCCTTGCTCAAATTTTTGTTTGTATCATCAGTTCTCTTTTTAGTTTCTCAAAGCATCCCTTACCACCTCTTCTTGGGTCGTGTTGGTCTTTTTCTTGTTCCGTGGCTCCTCAGAGAGCAATAGAACCAAAACAGGTTGCTGCGTTATATCGAAACCTCGCATGACTGGAGCTGGCGTTTCTGGACTGGGTCGAGCGGGTGAGTGGGGGTGTGAAAGGGCGCATGTCTGTTCAGTCTAGTTCGTCTAGCTGGATGGCAATTTGGATTGTAGATTTTCTTTGGAATAGAGTCCTCCGTCGCTCTCTTTCGGTCCACGGATCTCATTGCTACGTGCTCATGCAGTTGGTAGTGATGTATTACGACTCGGCGGGTTACACAAATTCCCGGTTGAGAGGAGCTTGTTCGGAGTAATGTCCACCCGTGACCTGATAGCCATCGTCCTATAGTCAACGTCACCTTTGCATCACCATAGCATATTCGGTGTTGCTCTCCGCCTTTCTGTTCAAAGAGCACATGGATATCAGGGTCTCCCTATGCCCCTTTCAACCCCAATAATAGTTCTCTGATCTTTTTCGCCATGCCGAATGACAGAGTGATCTATGCCCATACCATCCCGGCTTCGCATGTCGCACAGAATTTGTGGGATATGCTGTTGGCGCATCTCGAATGTCAGCATATTGCTAGCATGCAGCTACCGTGCAGTACAGGATCGAACGTTGGGACCCCTGCATGCGGCAATTAGGTCGTGTGTCTGAAGAATGCCTCTACCATGGTTCCAAGATGACATTGCTTGTCCCCTGGTTGGCCCACAACGGCCACACACCACTTACCTACCGTGGCTTACAGAATGTCCCGGTGTACCGAAGGAGAGCATAGTACAGGACCAAAGGCTGTTATAGGTCAGCTGTCCTTGCGGTGGCACTGCCAACGGTTGTCTATCACCAGTGAGGAACTTGTGGGAAGTAAGACGATCACACCTCTATCCTCGGGTGGTGGGAGGCAGGTAGGTTGTGATACTGGGCATATATACCCATTCCCATCATTCCTCTCTTCCTCCCCCATCTCAATATCTCACCCAACCGCCCGTCATTCGTGTCAACTCTCACTCCAAAACAATGTCCACCACCTCAACCCCCCCTCCCACCCTCCCAGACTACGTCCTAAACCCAGACGCAGTCCTCTCCGACCCCTCCACAACCTGGCGCCACGGCCAACCCCCCGACTACACCAAAACCCGGCAATTCTACCTCCAAAGTAGGTTCCGTCCCTTTTCCCACCTTCCCCCCCTGTCCTCCCATTTCTAACCCTTCCCACCCCCCGCCCCAGCAAAAAAATCAACCCACCCAGCCACCTCCCTCCCCGCCCTAGTCGAAAACCTCGTCAAAAACTGGGAAATCGAAGCCAGCTACAAACCCCTCCTCCCCGAATGGCGCACCATCGCCTCCCCGCAGTCCTACACCTTCCGCGTCAACGGCTCACCTCCACAAACCGCAGCCCAAATGCTCTCGGTCGGGACCTACAACGCCCTCATCGAGCCCAACGAGTTCTACTGCCCTGCTCACTCCTCTTTTGACGCCAGCCACAAGACATTCAAGAGGGTGATGCCGTCTTTTGCGTGGGAGGTGCTGGAGGTGTATGCCGGTCCGCCGAGGGTGGTGTTTCGCTGGAGGCACTGGGGTGTCATGAAGGGTGATTATGTGGGGACGAACGACAAGGGGGAGAAGGTTACCATCAAGGCTCACGGGGGGGATATCGACATTGAGGGTGTGGCGGTGGCGGATGTGAATGACAAGCTGCAGTTGGGGAGCGTCGAGGTGTTTTTTGATCCGATGGCCATGTTTAGGCAGATGGCGCGTGATGGGGAGACGGGGGTGACCAAGGAGGCTGGAACGACAGAGTAGATCAAGACATTAAACATTCTCGTGTGCCAAACTATGACTGGGTTTGGGGGGTATCTAATACAGAGAGAAAGAACCAAAAAAAAAGGGGAACCACACACGCATACTATCACAAACTCATCCTCAGTCCTTCTTGATGTCCACATACCCCCTACACATCTTCAAAAACCTCTCCCTGTACTCCTCCGGCGTAGTAGTGATACTCATCGGCCCATCCTTACTAATCAACAAATTCCACAAGTTAATCAGCAACGTCATGAACCTCGGCTGGATCTTGTGCTTCGCCCAAAAGAAGTCCAAGATCGAAGCCCGATAAACATACTTTCCATCCGCCGAAGCAACCCCCGTCTTCCACGTCGGAGGCTGAGGCGGAACCGACGGCCCATCCTCTGGCGGCGCCAAGTTCGAGTCCGACTTTGCCGCCTCCGGCTGCACCTCCTCTTGGACCTCCTCCCGTGGCAGCTTCATCCTGACCAAAAACAAGGAATAATCTACCGCGTTGTGCTCGGCCAGCAACTTTGTGTCCTCCTCCAACCTCGCAAACAAATCATCCGCCTGCTCCTGGCTGAGCACAATCTTGTCGTGAAACTCATCCGCCAGCTGCTCCTTGGTTGCGTCGCTCGTGAGCGCGCCATCGGCAATATCTCGTTCGGGGTAGAAATACGACGTTGGCTTCAGGTCCCAGTTCTCCCATTTGGCATCTCCCCTGTTTTCAGCCTCCTCCCGGCCGTACATGATGTTCTCCATGACGATATGATGCGAAGGCGCGAGACGGAGGATCCTTCCAATAGAAGCACCTGAGGCGCCAAGGAAATCACATATTCTGACCAACAAAGACTGCGGATGCGTAGCCATGTGCTGGACGTACGGGGTCAGGAGATCGTTGCGGAAGAAGGAATGTTCGGAGTGGCGTGGGACCGACTTGACGAGGTACTTTTGGTCGGTGGTTGCGTAAAAGGTCTGTCCGGTAAGTAGTCTCGCGGTCAGCACGTCCGTTGTCATGATAAATCCCCAGGGAGAGAAAATTTTACTTACGGAACCAGAGAACCCCATGTCCCCGATAGCAGTCAAAGCCTCCTCATCCTTTGCGCCCTCCCGCGGTCGGAACGAGTCGACATAGTCGTCATCGCTGACATCCCAGTACTCCCGTCGCAGCTTGGCAAAGTCGGCAGGGCGGATCTTTCTCATGAGCAGCTGGTAGAGGGAGAAGAAGGCGGAGAACAGGGCGAGGAGGATCCCGAGTGGGTTGCTGGCTTTCTTTTTGGTGCCATTGACATTGGTCCTGATGATGGCGCGGACGATGGACCGGGCGATTCTTTCTTGTCGACCCATAGGAGCAATAGTCTAGCTAGGTGATCGAGTGGTATGTAAACAATAGCTTAACTAGGTCGAGTGGAAATCAAGCAATGTTCTAGACAACAGAATACATGATAGCTCGACAGGGAACAGCGGATCGTTCCTGGACGGGGCTGTCAAGGGTGGGGTGACGTCATTGATCCAAAGACAGGATGACAAGGGTGGTGGTCTAGACCACCGGTGCCAAGACAGACCTTGGAGACTTCACTAAACAGCCTCATTGCATTATTCCAACCATCATATATCCCCAAGCCAGCAATCATCCCTCGCTTCCTCCCATCCTTAGCCGGCGGTTGTGTTCCTGAAGAAGATGTCAACAACTGCTCTCCACAACTCACGGGGAAAAGAACTTACCATGTGTGTTTCTTTTTTGATGATGCTGCCTGATCGGGGGTGCCCGATCGGGTATGCCGAAGAGTCAAGTCGCGCAAAGCCGCCGCCAACAGTGGTTCAAGACGCTCATGCATTTCACAGAAGAAAAGAAAACAAAAGCAGACACACGTGTTGCTGGTCGAGTGTCGAACAGTCCTCCCCACCAAGTACTTTCGCGTGTACTGTCAAAGCTCCCACTCCCTCTCGCCCTCATCCATCTTCTATCCACCACCCCTACCAGATCCCCCCCCGCTAAGTACGTTCGCGTGTACTGCTGAAAGCCCTATCTAGACAGACAGATGTGAGAACGTGGACCATCACATAACGTGAGTGGGGCGTGATATGGGTTGGGGTAGTTGTGTGTGTGTACAAGTGACCAAATGGGAAAGAAGTGGGGCAAGCATGAGCGACTCTCAACTCGGCTTCGAGTCACCCCATGGGTGGGGAGACAATGACATGGGGATGAGGGAGATAGGTACCAGAAGCTCGATTGTCGAATGTGCTGAGGTCGGACGGAAAAGGTTGAAAGATCGAGCGAAAGTCTGAAAAAGAGTCATGTCAGTCATGTGTGTTTTCGACAATGGTGTCTAGCGGCATTGGCAAGAGCAGCATTGAGCGTCGTTGAACTTGTTGGCGGCGAGGTCTGTGGTTAGGCAGATGAGTTATTTGTCTGCCATAATAAGTGTCAGTATTTCGAAACAAAAAAGACTTGTTGAAAAATCGAGTGTTGGAAAAAGGTGAGCGAAGCTGGGATGGCAAGGAGTCGAAGTTGTGGTGGGAAGAAAAGTCGAAGAAAAAGAAAGCCTTGTGTGAGAAAAGAAAAACGGGTGAAGAAGTGCAGTCTGAAAAGGAAGTCGAAGAAATATAAAAGTAAAGTGATGTGGAATAGCCGAGAAGAAGTCGTACTAAAATATTGAAGTCTGGCCACAGATGGCAGATGGGGAAGTGTCGTTGCCTTGATGGTTTTGTGAGAGTCGAGTTGCAGCTAGAAAGAGACGAGATGAGGAAAATCGATGGGTCGTGGGAAGAAAGAGTAAGATCAAAACTGGAATAAACCACAAGATGTTAATTCAAAACATCCCGAATATCAGGCCGGTGACGGTTTTGAGATGTGGAGGGTCGTTGGTCGAAGAGAAGAAAAAGAACGATGGGAGATTGGTGTTAAATGGAAGAGAGGAAATAGAAAGACTGGCAAGCAGTGGGATATATTTATCCTTGCCCAGAGAAGAACCTCTACGGCTCACAATCAATCAGGCAGGAGGTCTGGCTCTACTGAGGTGGGTGGGTCTACCATTGTTGTTATTGTGGTCGAATGATTTTATCTCAAGCCGAGAAGGTGCAGTTAGTTGACAGCCTCAGGCCTTTTGAGATCAGGTCTATCTTCCAGGTCTAATTATGAACCGGCAGGTATTCTGTTGAATTGGCATTCAACATAGGAGATACTAGGTGACCACCACCTACAGGATTGCAAACGCTCAGTTTGATTTCGAATATTTGCCCAATCATCCTGGAAGAACCAAGGTTGCATGAAAGGAAATCAGACGATACGTAGTTGTGCAATGCCATAAGGTGATGTTGAGAGAGATGTGCTTGATCTCATAGTCAAGATGGCCCGAAGCACTTTCAACATCAACTGCACCAACCCTCTCCATCTCTAAGTCGGAATTTGTATTAGAGTATCAATAGCATTCAACACATTGTTGAGACAGCAGCTCTTAGTATTAGGGACCTAGGTAGCTAACGGACCCCAAACTGGTTGTTGCCTGTAGCTTTTATTCAATGCCATGTCCAATTTGCTCGACGTCTAGATGATTTGAAACTGGACATTGTATTTCTTATATTTGCCGTTCAGGAGAAACTGGAATAGTGGCATGGCAAAGACAGAAACGCATGTTTGCGATCATCTCTGCTAATGGGACCGAAATCATAAAATATATGCCGTTACACCCGCTCGGAAGCTTCCGTCACACCTGAACGGCATGGTAGGAGTCTGAACTGTCTCGAGTTGTGCGATCCATCTCAAGGTTACCGTTGCATGATGCTATCAACTTGCTACCCAGATCCCCGCGTTCCGCGGTTGTTGAACAAAGAGGTGCCTACTGCCTGTCACGACTTCAAGACTTGAGTTATGTGGAGATCTGCCTCGTGGAGGGCATGCTTCGGGCATACCAACCGTCATCGAAAGGCTGACCAACCGGTCATTTTGATGGTTGCATGCAGGTAGCATCTGAGCGTATATGGCCCAGCAATACGGATTATGGAACTTCTGTTCTGGGTGTTGCGAGCGGTGAGAGCCAGACATTTTACTATAATTCGAGGCTGAGCTTGGATGGTGGTCGATGTTGGCTGTGAAGTCGGCCCCCGAACGGCTTTGTGACACCGCATGGTCGCTTTTTGTCCAACGGGAGACAAGGCTATGTTTAACCGGGAATATCAGGGTATGAAGTCGCTTACTCCGGCTGCATACACGAGAGTGATCTTGGTTTCTACACGAAATGTAACGTTAGTGGGCCATCGTCTGTACAGGCAGGTGTCAATCATGCCAGGTTCTCGGATCTCTTGGTGATCGCGGGGTATAAAAGGGACGATGATCACGCCGGTGAGCACTGGTTTGCTCCTGTCAGTCATCAAACCATCCCTCCACAAACCCTCGAATCTCATCAACAAAATGCAGTTTACCTCCAAGACACTTCTCTCGCTCGCAGCGGCCCTCTCTGTTGCCGCTGCACAGTCCGCCGACTGCGTCTATGACGTGCAATCGGCCCCCTTCCATCTCCGACTCACTAGTGACGACGCAAGACTGAATGACACTCTCCTAGTCTCAGTCCATGCCGGCCCCCCTTTCCGACAACTCGTTTCTGAAGTCTTGTTGGAGGAGAAGTACCCGGGGCAAAACCTGTCGGACATTTCTATCAACTTCTACTACAACACCACCTCCACCAACGACCCGAACCTCAATTGCCTCCCGGGGAAACTCCACTGGGCGCCTGAGCAGAGCTGGCCTTCCGTGTTCGGCCTCGAGTCTTCACTTGCAAGCAATGTCCTGCCGGTCATCGTGAGCCCGACGCAGGGAGAGGGGTCTGGCCCTCAGTTTGACGAGGAAGGCAAGCTGTTCCAGCGAGCTAGGTCCTTCAGCCCCGTCATCACGGATGAGAATACCTGGAGTGGTGCCAACTACTACAAGTGGTTCGTTTGTGCGACGGTTTATGGCAATTACAACTATGGTGATGCTCTGACCTGGGTATCGGGCGGTCTGCCAGATGGGAAGGACTGCAGGGCTGTCAACGTGACGCGGGAGTGGGCTTGAAGAGGGTTGGTGTGAAAAGCGTGGGACCTGGGATATTTTTTTTTCGTTTCTCGTCGATACCGTAGTTACTCCGTAATGTTTAGAACAATGATAGAAGAGTGATCGAGCAAAGCCGTTGCAACTTGATGGGTTCGGGGACCCCACGGTTTCCATGCAGACGAAGGGGCGGATCTCGGGCACGTTCGATGCGGGATTGCGCGAAGCCTTCCAGGTTCGGCAGCAGGACACTATCATTTGGACCAGTAATATCTACCAGAAGCTGTTAGCACACGGCACTCCCGCTCACACGTGCTGAAATGGCATCCTTCTCGAACCTTTATAGTGGGGGCATCTGACATCTCAACCCCTGCAGGCGGTCGGTTCCGGAAGGCTGGGCAGTGCGGAAGAAGCCCTCAAGGTTCGGGGTCGGTGGCGCATACCATCGGCTTCGGTGGAGGACGGATGCAGCAAGGTCAGCCTGGCTTCCCATTACCAAATCCACCGATGGTTTTTTTGCATGCCATCACCCCATCCAGCCTTCAATTTCTGCCCTCTCCCACCGTGGCAAAGTCAATTAGCTTCTTCTTGTTTCTTCTTCTTCTTCTTCTTCTTTGCTTGCTGCCGTCCTCCCGTTCCAGTCCCCCTCCCGTCCCTCTCCTCCTGTTCATTCTTTGACCTCCCCGTCTGAAGAACATCTGGAAACCGCCAACCCCGCCCCCACCATAAAATATTCCGGTCTCCCAGTCCACGACAGACAGTCTTCCCTTCCACAGCAGCGGTCGCAAGAATGTCTAACCAGAACGGTGCCAACCACCGTGGCCTTGTGTCGCAGGTCCCAATTCCCATATTCGACAAGCTGGTGGCCAAGTCAGACATCAAGATGTCTGCGACCGAGCTCATCGGCAACACGCCGCTTGTGCGCCTCAACAAGATCCCCCAGTCCCTCGGCATCGAGTGCGAGGTCTACGCCAAAGTTGAGCTGTTCAACGCCGGCGGCAGTGTCAAGGACAGGATAGCCCTTCGCATGATCGAGGAGGCCGAAAAGAGCGGACGTATCAAGCCTGGCGACACCCTCATTGAGCCTACCAGTGGCAACACGTAAGAATTCTGCGCCTTTCTTTCTTTCCTGTGGGTGCTAATGCGAAACTAGTGGTATTGGTCTCGCCTTGGTTGGCGCTATCAAGGGCTACAAGACCATCATCACCCTTCCCGAGAAGATGTCCGCCGAGAAGGTGTCTGTCCTCCGCGCCCTCGGTGCCACCATCATTCGCACACCCACCCAGGCTGCATGGGACAGCCCCGAAAGCCACATCGGTGTTGCGCGCCGTCTGCTCAAGGAGATCCCCAACTCCCACATTCTCGACCAGTATACCAACGTCGACAACCCGCGCGCGCACGAGTTCGGCACCGCCGAGGAGATCTGGGCTCAGACTGGCGGTAACATCACGGCTATTGTCGCGGGTGCTGGTACCGGTGGCACCATCAGCGGTATTGCCAAGGGTTTGCGCAAGCACAACAAAAACATCAAGGTCATTGCTGCCGATCCCCATGGCAGTATCCTTGCTGTTCCCGAGTCCCTGAACGAGGAGAAGGCCAACCTACCCTACAAGGTGGAGGGTATTGGCTATGACTTCATTCCCGATGTCTTGGACCGCGAGCTTGTGGACAAGTGGTACAAGACTGATGACCGCGAGTCTTTCAAGCTTGCGCGCCGTCTGATCGCCGAGGAGGGCTTGTTGGTCGGTGGCAGCTCTGGCAGCGCCATGGCGGCCATGCTCAAGGCTGTCAAGGACTTTGGCTTCAAGAAGGGTGACGTTGTCGTTGTCGTCCTCCCTGACAGCATCCGCTCCTACCTCTCCAAGTTCGCCGACGATGACTGGCTTGCGGCCAACGACCTTCTCCCCAACGACGACACCAACGTCAGCGGCGGCGATGCCGCTTCCGCCACTCCCCACACCCCCAGCCAGAACGACCCCTACGGCGGTGCCACCGTCCGCGCCCTTCGCCTCAAGCCCGTCTCTTCGGTCCTTGCTGACAGCCCATGCACCGAGGCCATCGAGATGATGCGCGACAAGGGTTTTGATCAGCTCCCCGTCCTCACTCCTACTGGTGGCAAGCTCGCTGGTCTTGTTACTCTTGGCAACATGCTCAGCTACATCTCCAAGGGCCGCGTCTCGCCCAAGTGCCCCGTCAGCGACGTCATGTTCAACTTCAAGCGCATCGATGAGGTTGTCACTGATCCCCGCGAGTTTGGTTCCGAGCTTAAGAACAAGAAGCGCAAGTTTGTGGAGATCACCATGGACACTCCTTTGTCGGCGCTCAGCAGATTCCTCGAGTGGAACAGCGCGGCTATCGTCACGGAGAAGGCCGAGGACGGATCCAAGCCTGTTGCCGTCGTCACCAAGGTGGATCTGTTGACCTACATGGTCAAGCACAAGTAGAAAGAGGTGGAAAAGTTGGGGTGTCAAGGCATGGCGTTTGTGTGAATTTCTTGTTTCTTTTTTTGTGGTATTTTGCGTCTCCATTTTTCCGTAGATATACGCTGGGAAAGAAAGAAGAACCGAGAAGACTCAACATCTTTGGTGTGGTTTGGGAAAGCGACTACTCTTAGACTTGGTAGCATCTGGTCGGCGTACTTTTTGGGGCTCAACCCGTGCAAAATGGGGAGAGAGGTGGTTTGGGAGATGGCATTTTGTGATGCATTGTTTATACCCATAAACTACAATTACAAGTTTATATTGATTTGCATTAAAAGTTTGTACCTGTTCCTAGATCATGTTTTGCCGCCCTGTTCATTACCCATCCACGCGCCCTGCTTGCGATAATCAAGCAGGAGATATTTCCGTTGCCCTCTTTTGACATCAAAAAACATCATACATTTTTCCCTTATACCCTCTCCCCAATCCACTTCCACCACTTCTCGGCCCCCGGCCCATCTCCAGTGACACTCCCCCCAATAACATCCACATCCACGTCAAACTCCATCATCTGCGCAAACGAGAACTTTTCGCTCCCGTCCCCCCCAAGCCAGTCCCCTTCCTCCCCAGCAGCAAGATCATCCTGCCCTACACCCGAATCCAACAACCCCTTGCTCCTCGCCGCCCGGATCCTCCCCAGCTCCGCCTCCAAGTTAGACTTTACCAGCGCCGCGGGCAGAGCGGTGAACAAGTCAAGCTTGTTCGCCGCCACCAAGACAGGCATGGACGCGGGCGCGCGACTACCATTCCGGCTGTGGAAGCGCTTCTGTAGAGTGAGGAGCACGTCGTAGAGGTATTCCGCCGTTGACGGGAGAGCGTCACCATCTGCGAGCGCAGCGGCGTCCACCATGAAGACGACGGCCTTGATCTTGGACTTTGCGCCGCCGTCGCTGACGAGGGAGGACTTGATTGTTGGTTCGGCAGAGTTCAAATGGGCGAGGGAGGAGGCGCGGAGTTTGGGGTGGCCGGGGGTGTCGACCAGGAGGAATTTTTTGGCTGTTGCGCCTGCTTCGTCGAGGTTGGTTTTGTAGGATGCGCTGGAGGGGTCGTCGGAGTTGATGGAGAGTTCAATGGAGGAGGGGACTTGGGAGGTGTGGGTTTTTGCGAGGGGGAGGTCGAGGGGGCCGCGCTCGAAGAGGGTGGTTAGGGCTGTTTTGCCTGCTCCTGGGGGGCCGAGGAGGAGGACGGAGGGGAGGGTGGTGTAGGGGGTTGCGGTTGAGTAGAGGAAGTGGAGGAGGATGGGGGCGAGGAGGCAAAAGGCGAGGCCGAAGAGGATGACGGTTGGGGAGGGGGTGAGGGAGGCCTCGAGGAGGTCTTTGAGGGTTTGTTGGAGGGACATGATGGTTGAGGATGTCCTTTCCAGGAGAGGGAGAGAAGGTGGTGGGTGAGGTGGTTGAGGACAGGGAGCTAGAGCTGGACTCTTATTCTTTGGCGCGATTGACCCTGTAGATTGGCTGGGTCCGGGAGGTTGAGATCCGAGTGTGTTGATATGGGGCCACCCGTCATCCGACAGCGTGGTCCGATCGGCTCATGGGAATTTTAATAGTTGTTCGTTACGTAGCACTTCGCGGTCAACGGCCCCACAAGGCCGAGGGCAGAGAAGAAACAGACGCGCGCTATGGGGCTTCTGTGGGGCTGCTCAGGGCTGTCAGTGGCGGTCAGACGCACAGCCGCAGGTGGGAGTGGTGGGGTTCCCGCAACAAGACCCGACACCACCAAGGCAGCGGTTGACAAATCAGCGCCCGAGATGCAAAAGGAGACCCTGGCTCAGCCTCGCTGCGTCGTTCGCGCATGCAGAAGCAACAGTTGTTGGCTCCTGTGCTCCTGTCGCTGAAGAAATTCCTGGGGAAAGATTCTAGTCTTCAACCAACGTCATTGATTCTTGCACCATCTTTTGTGGCATGTCCAGTCCAGTTCCTCTTCTTTGGCGCCCCATCCGGATCTACTAGACGCCATCGATCAGGGCACCGAAGCAGAGCAGCGGCCAGGGGGTCAAGTCAGTCCGAACTCGCCGGGGCATCTCCATATTCTTGGCTTTCCCAACTTCGCTTTTCGGCTGCCTACTGCCCACCACTGGACACTCGAGATCGGACCGGATTATTCAGGAGGCAGCACCCCACAGAAGCCCATCCTGAACGATGGCGCAACGTCCCGACGCATCAGCGACCCCTTCGGCGAACGGCGCGCCCGCCCAACCTCCATCCAAGTCGGACACGGCCACCCCAAAGCTCAACAATGAGGTCGAGTTGGGCAACCTCCCCGGCGACGGGGAGCCAGCCCAGAGTGACATTATGCAGATGGCAAGGACGGGCGACATTGCCGGCATGGAGAAGCTGTTTGAGACGGGCGACTACGATGCGACTTACACCGACGGCGAGGGGATAACCCCATTACATGTTTGTTATTTTTCTGCCCAGCTCTTTCTGGATGAAGCTGACAATTTCTCTTCTTGGCAGTGGGCGGCCATCAACAACCAGTATGCCATGTGCAAGTTCCTGATCGGCCGTGGCGCCGAGATCAACCGAAAAGGAGGCGAGAGTGTGGCCACACCATTACAATGGGCTGCTCAGCGGTGTCATTACTACACCGTCCACCTACTGCTCCAACACGGCGCCGACCCCTTGATCTCCGATGCTCAGGGATACAACACATTACACATCAGCACCTTTAACGGGAACCTTCTTCTGATTGTCCTGTTATTACACCAGGGCATACCGGTGGATGTGGAAGATGCCTACGGTCACACCGGTCTTATGTGGTCTGCTTACAAGGGCTATCCGGCTTGCGTCGACGTCTTTCTACGATGGGGCGCCAGCGTTCACGCCAAGGACGAGCAAGGCTTTACGGCTCTGCACTGGGCACTCGTAAAGGGAAGCGCTGGGTGTGTTCAGAAGCTCCTCGAGTACGGCGCCGATCGGTTCGCCAAGACCACGACGGGCAAGACCCCTTCCATCACAGCTAAGGAGCTGAACACGGCAGGCGCATGGCACAAGGCCCTCCACGAGTGCGGCTACGATGAGGACGCCAATGCGATAATACCGAGCTGGCCGGGATCGAGCTACCTTTTGCAGGATAGGAGGGGGTTCACGACCAAGTTCTTCTTCCTGTGGCCCTTCGTCCTGGTCTGGGCGACTTTGCACATCTTTGCTGGGATGCCGGTCTACGCGGGCATTCCCATCGGGCTCGTTGTGGCTTATTCGATCCAGTGGGTTGGCCAACAGGTTACCGCCTATGCGCCGCCTGATATGAGGTCGTTTGAGAAGACGGTAAGCTTCCCCCTATGCTGCCTGCTGTCTGCGGAGGTTCTTGCTGATTTGAATGTAGCCCTGGATGACCGGTATTTTTGCCGCTTCGCTCTTCTGGGTAGGGCTCAACTGGCTGTTTACTGTCTTTCCCACCACAGCATTTGGCGAAGATGGGACCTACCTGCTCAACTTCCTTTTCGCCGTGACCCTTGGCTTGACTGGGTTTTTCTACGTCAGGTCCATGGTCGACGATCCCGGATTCGTACCCAAGATGAACGGTATTGCGGAGCAGAGAGCGGTCATTGATGAGCTGATCAGCCAGTGGAAGTACGACGAGGCCCATTTCTGTGTTACTTGCATGATCCGGACTCCGTTGCGCAGCAAGCACTGCCGTAGGTGCCAGCGCTGTGTTGCCAAACACGACCATCACTGCCCGTGGGTCTACAACTGCGTCGGCATCAACAACCACCGCCACTTCTTCATGTACCTCATCAACCTGACCCTCGCCATTATCATCTACGACTTTCTCACCTACCGTTACTTCAACATTGTGTCACCCGATGCCTCGGAAGAATGCAACCTTCTCGCCCCTTCCATCTGCAAGGTCGTCAACGCCGACGCTTACACGATGCTGACGGCCATCTGGGCATCGCTCCAGCTCGTCTGGGTGTCCATGCTTCTGTCTGTCCAGCTGATCCAGCTCGCCCGCGCCATGACGACCTACGAGAACATGTTTGGCGTCCACCACACTTCTGCCACCTCGTTGGCATCCGCTTTCACCTCGACTGGCGCCCCACTGGATCCGACACAGCAACCTCCCTCCGGATCCGCCGCCGGCGAAGGTGGCCACGGCCACAAGCATGGCCACAAACATGGCGGCATCCTCAAGACAATGAGCCGACTCCTCGGAGTTGACATTTTTATGCGAACAGCCCGCGGCAAGGGAGCTGCCACCAACCCAGCCAACAAGCGAAAGAGCAGAAACCCTTACAACCGCGGCTGCGTCACCAACTGCAAGGACTTTTGGTGTGACCCTGCGCCGTTGTTCGGCAAGAGGGAGACTGGCGCCGCGATGCTCGGTGGACAACCGGTGAACTACACGGAGATGTATGAGAGTCCGGCTGTGATGGATGTGCTGAGAGGGAGGGTTGGCAGATCAGGCGGTTATGAAGCCGTTGCTGGGGATGAAGTATGACGAGCCCGGTGTAGGGGCGTGATGAATCTCATGAAGGCGTATGATAGACGGAGCAGCGGAAATGTGTACATGCTTGCAACGGACAACTGGATGTGTTGGAAAGTTTGGGGTGTACACTCATGGGGGCTTTGGTGACGACGCCCTGTTGTGTACAAACGATGAGGGGATGGTGTGGGTGATGGTGTTGATGACGATAATGTCTTGATAGGGCTAAAGAATAGATTTTAATGAGCATCAGCAGACCCGGAGGCAACTACCGCATGCGCCGTGTGTACGCGTGGGCCAGCGAGGTGGTTGGGGGGATTAGCCGGCAGTTGTTGATCTGGAGGAGAGGAGGGCGGTGGCTTCGGCGAGAGCCCGCGCAGGCACCTGTTAATCGGGACAGAGATATAAGCCGTTTCTTGGGTTGTATTAACACCGTTGACTGTTACGTCAGGGAGGGGTAGTCGCTCTGAGGATTTATCACCATACAATCCAAAGAGCGTAGTTCACTCGTGCGCTTGCAAGTGGCCAGGTACTGCGCTACAGAACCTATGAGTTTTGGTAGCGAGGGAATGTTGGCCATGAGAAGATGTGACAATAGTACCGGGCCATCGGCTTTAGGTGCTAGACTGCGGACTTTACAATGTAGGGAACATCCAACATCCCGATGGTGAGCAGACGGCAAAATAGGTACATCGGAGAGCCCGGATCCCAATCGGGAAATTCGCCGGTTTTATTCTGCTTCTTCGGTAAAGATGCTCGGGTGTGGATGGATGTGATGCAGGTAATCAATTGCATGCAAGGGCCCTGATCGTCATGGTGACCCTGGTAGGAAAGGTTGACGATGTCGCCTCCTTATATATTATAGGCGTCTCGTCCCGTTGATGGAAGACGCAACTTCCCTTCCGGCCTCAACCCATCGACATCAAACACCATGCGTTCCTCCATCATCACGAGCGCCTTGCTCGTCTTTGGCGCCGTCCAAGCCGACCCCGGAGCCAAAAAGAACACCGGCGGTCCCATCGACGCCTCCATCCTCGCTCACACCGGCGAGCCAGCAGGTAAAGAGATCAAGATCGCCAACAACCGTATATCCCCCTTCCCCAATAACACATATCATATAATAAAATGACAAAAAACAATATAACAGTTCATAATATTGTCCGCTCTCTGTGCGTGAGGTCTATCATATTTAAATAAAAATAACATATATATAAACAAAGAT